AAAAAAGAGCATGATAACAACCAGTGAATGACAATGCCTATGTGGCATAGCTTTCCGGTATGAGTTTTGGCTTTTGATTGAGAAAAAAATAATGCCCTTCTTTTATGGAATGAGATGAAAGATGCCATTCGTTTAAACCTAAAACAAACTCAAGCCCCCCAACTGTGCTGACAGCATACCAATGGCACAAGATGTAGTTCCATCAGAAAGAAACCTGGTTGTAGCAACAGAGACAAACAGTCTGGAAGAAAGGAGCTTCTTCGTTGTCATTAGCTCAAGTGAATTTGCATTACAACTATGAAAATTCTTTTTTATCTTTCCATTCTCAGAGAGTTGATAACATTCCAGAATACTCTTCAAAGGTTCTTAAGATTATTGGATTAAACTGTTGACCTAAACAAGGCGTACACTATCATGTTGATGAATCGAACATTAGTAAACCAACTGAATAATCAATGCACTTGCTCTGTGCTTCATTCTTGATGATTGCCAGCTACTGTCAGGAAACTGAAAGCAAGATACGAAAAGGTACTACCCCTTTGAACATCTTGTGGGTGGATTAAGAGAGAAACTTTTGCATATATAATACATTTCATTGTAACTAAGGTGGGAAGGGTCCTTCTTGACAATGAAATGAGCTGTTGAATCACAATGTTCCAAGCAAATCCCTTAGCTTTCTGAAAAAGCCAGGCTTTTCATGCAAGTACTCTTTTACAAAAATTAATACAGTCTAACCAACCATGTATGACGATCAGCAGAAGCTGGCATAGTCAACAAAACCCTCCGTCATGCTAAAGTATATATCCTTGGAGGCACAATCATACCAAGTACGACTTACTAATCAAAACTGGCGCTTTCCCCTAGCACTAAATTCACCAAGGATGCAGATTATCATCCTGAAAGAGTCATCTCTGGATACAAACAGTGATTGTGGTCTGATCAAGATGAGTAAAAAGATAAGTGCTTATGAGCTCATAAGGGGGGCATTAATTCATAATGTTTTATTACTTTATTGTTATTGGATGCTGACAAAGAAAGAAAAGCAACATAATGATTCAATTTACACATTCACGTTCCCTATTTCCCTTTGAAATAAAAAAGCATAATCTTTATATTTCATTCCAATGAACTTCATCCATGAATAGATCACTCCAACCACGCTCTAATGTGCCTAAATATCCTGCATCATCATCAACAATAGAAATATAGTTTCTCAATGGAGGAGCAGCAGGTACTTCTAATGATTCATCCTCATCCGTAAATGAATCGTACTCCATCATCATCATATCTTCTTCTTCTTCATGATCTTTTTCTGCTCCTCTGTCATTTACTCTATTTGTAGTTGTCGAAAGGGATAATTGAAATGCTGTTGATGACGTTGTATTGGATATATTGGATGATAATGCGTTTGTACTTTTATGAAAATGAAATCGTTTTGAAGAATGAGACTAGGAGTACTCTCTTTTTAACAATTAAATATGACTAAAGATGAATAAGCGTACCTCTTCTATTGTATCATCCTCTATTTTACGTTTGAGTGAATGTATGTTTTTATTTACAACTAGTAAGAATTATTAATAACGCTAAAAGGGGTCACTGGCTCGTCTTTTATATATCTTACTGCATTGGTTGAATGAGTCCATGGTATCCTTTTTATATAGTAATCGTTGGTGAACAAACAGACGAGAAAGAAACAGGTGAAATAAATATAAAAAAAAAAATGCGAAGTCACGTTTTACTGGTTATTAACAGAAAACTTCATCTCACTAAAGCAACCTTTATCAGCAATTGGATTATCAGTACACTTTGCATTAATTCATTAATGTTGTTAACACAAGCCCGTCGGTTTATCCAAGTCTTTTGAAAAGCCTTGTAATCTTTCCAAAACATTAAGCAATGAATGCTTCAAAAACCGCGTTCAAAAATAGGCATTCACTGTCTGTCATATGGCATAAGTATATTGAGTACATCCGCCTGCCAACTGGATATACAGTGATCTGTTTCTTTACAGACAAAATGATACGCTTCCATAAAGTTAGCCTTTCTCACAGTAAAAGGGAATAACGCAACTCAGATCACGAAAAGAACTTCAGATCAGTACAAGCACCGCTATTTAATAGACAGCATAAATAATGTGTACCTATTCCTTACTCACTCAAGAGCATGTATCCAAGTTATTCACTTTCTGAATACAGCGTGTGGATGACCCATACAGTAATGAGATGCACTCTTATCAAGATGTCATTATGGAGCAGTTGCCGATATTTAACAATATTAAAATTAATATTAATATTAATGAACCTATCACACATTTGTTCTTGGAAGAGTGCGACTCCCTATTTACAAAAGCTTCTAGAATAAATATCCTTTACATGACAGATAAACAAAATGACCTGTAAGATTATACACAAGAGTTATTGTTACATATATGAATAGCTTAGGATTAAAATAACAGATATGACATTGGTTACGATCACGTTTGCCCTTTCCTTTTTATTTTTTCCCATTCAAACTAAACCAGTTTGGAATGATAACATGTCCCTGGACGCCATATTCTTTATAAAAGCCGGTCATTGAAAGCAAGCCCTATTCAAGAGCAAATTGATATTACTTTACACATTGTTCATTGAGTGTGTGAGCTTGGTTCTCGTTTCAAGTTGAACATGATAGGTTCATTATATCATAGCGCCACAGGGGGCACGCGTAGGAATTTACCTGCCTGTTTGATACACATGCACCTGTCCGGACAGGGTTCTTCCTTTTTAATGTAGATCGACGAGTAAACTCCGTGCTTTTTTAGGAAATAATGAACTTTTTCTAAAGTATCCCAGAGATAAAGTTACACTAATGGTGATCACACAACGATTTTGCTAGATTTTGTTAGTAGATAACTAACCTTTACACGCGTAAACACGTACTTGATGACGATAGATATTAAAGCAAGGTTGAGTTTGCCTATCAAGGCAAACTCTAGTCGAGATCTCATACTTGGTGAATGCAAGGAAAGAAAGAAAATAAAAAGTAGATTGATATCGTTCGTGTTACCTGTACAGTTATGGAGTACAATGAAAAAAAAAAAAAAGCTTCAATGAAATAAAGAAAACGACGCGATTTACACCTTTGTTATTGGCATTAATTGTTCTAAAATCATATGCGGTTGAATAAGGTGACGGTAATCAACATCACTAAGCAAATATTTATTTAATAATAGAAAGGAGGAAGAACAGACTTATGCGCATTGTATTTTGCACATGATTAAAAGCAACCAGTAAAAGGAGAATGATGCCCTTGAATAAACACGTCTTTGGCCGTGACTTGGAAATTACTATGAAAATTTGTCTCCCATAAAGAAGAAATAAGATGGCGTAACAAAGTTGCATGAAACCATTATGAGGTATTGTAACATACATTCCTCCTTTTTTTTATTATAATAAGAAAACCATTAGAGTTTCTATAAAAGAGTGTTTGTTATTTTTAATTGTGTATAAAAAGGGTGCTTTCTAGAAATTGATCTATCCTTACGATCGAGGATAGAAATATAGTTCATCGATAGTGTAACACCATCCGAAGAAGGGGTTAAAATAAAGAAATACCCCACAGTCAGATTCAATGCAAAAAGTTGACGCCATTGGGTACCTTCATAAGCCAGTAATTACCGGAAAAGAGCACGAGAGTCATACCAAAAAGTTACGCCCAACTTTGTGGAAATGAACCTTCGATTCTCGGTCAAGGGATCAACCGACCTGTGCAACATGTAATAATTTACAAATGAACAATAATGGGTTCAATAGACAGCTAAAATGAGCCCCCTGCGACTAAAAATAAAAAGAAAAAGTCAATGAACCAAAAATAAAAGTATAAATATCTCTTTCTTTTCTCTCTCTTTTTTTCTTATTTATATCTTAATATGAACTACCCTATTGCTGGCTGGCTATGCAAATTGAATTCATTGCCCTTTAAAAGATCAAGATGGGTGCCTCGCTATTTTATATTACTTGACTCAGAACTACGGTGTTATAAAGACGAAGTAAATGTTTATATGCTTATAGGATTTGATGATATTAACATATTAATCTATAGTTTACAGCAACACCATCACATATTCTAGATCTACATGAAATACTCCAAATCACACTTTATCCACAGCGTCCATTCACATTCAAACTTGAAACGGTTGATCAGGATAAACCATGGATCATGGCTTGCAATTCAAGGCACGATATGATGAAATGGATGAAAGCAATTGAATGCAAGATGACACCCGTATCACCTATTCGCATTGATGAAAAGAGTATATCCCCCGATGTCTATCGAGTACCTACCCTATCGCTTCGATGCACTAATTTAACGCCTCAAGATCAACCAAAGAAAATATCCTTACTCGAACGAAGAAACAAAACGCTTGTGCCTATCATCACCCAACCTCTTTACCAATCCATGTCACCTAGTACGAGTACTACTGTTAGTACAATTGATACCGCCTGTTCTACATCACCTACGTCTCCCAAACATTCAATCACTCCTTCTCCTACTGGTGCTGTGTTATGCACTTGTATGTCTTTTAAAGAATCAAGTAAACCAATATCAAAAACACCTTTTAAAAAAAGCCTAAGCCTCATCTCACCTTTACAAAAGTATTTATCAGAAGTATCACCGACGTATTTAACTTATAAGAAACGATTTAGACTTTAATAAAAAAACACCAAGTATATCCTTTTTTTTTTTTCATTCACACATTTTATTGATATTAAGGCAAAGCTAAATCTTCAAGACTTAGTTCTTCGCCACCAGGTCTTTGTTTCAAGGCATTTATATCTAACAAACTTTCTTTTTCTGCATAAAGTGTTTTATAAGCCGTCTTGATCGTCACTTCAGATACACCAGCCACATGAGCAATTTCCCTTGTTGATTTAGGTTGACGATAAAGGTAGGAAACAAGATAGATACAGGCAGCTGCCACTGAGATAGGTGATTTACCTGCGAGCGTACCAAGATCTTTTACCCGTCTCACCAAGTCAATACCTGCTTTCTGAACATAGTTTGGTAATTGCAAATTAGAGCAGAAACGAAGCATGAGATCTTCTGAATTCATAATTGTTGTGTTGGTTTGTAATTTCAATTGAAGTGATTTACAACAGCGTCCAATCTCTTTTTTAGGTACACGTGTCAAGGCGCAGATTTCTCTGAACGTACGGCCGACTTTTTCTTGACGACAGGCAATAAAGATACAAGCAGCAATGATAGCATCACTTGATTTTCCTCGTAATAGTTTTTCGTCTTCCACACGTTTATATAATTGCTTCGCTGTGTCACTCACAATCTTTGAGAGTGAGATTGAATCACACATGGCGCCAATCTCTTTATATGCTTGAACAAGGTTACGTTCACCTTTAACAGCTGTAGCTCTTCCGTGGACCTTGTTCAAGTCCTTAGCCGCACCTGTTCCACCGTCTCTTCTGGAAATAACCGTATCTAGCTGGTTACCGTCCAGTAGTGGATTTGCTGCAGCACCTACACGAGAGGGATCCTATGGAAGATATAAACAATGACTATATTAAAAAAAGCTATTTAATACATACATCTCCTTCATCATTAGCAAATGTTCTCCATTCCGATCGAGTGTCGATGATTCGGTCACCAAGCACAAGTCCACAATCACCACATACTAAATCGCCAGAAGCAAACTCTTCAACAATGTGTGGTGGAGTCAATTTGCAATCTGGACACATCAAGTTTATATTGAGATTGGGTTGAAATGCTTTAGGTTTCCCTTCATCTTTGTTGTTGGGTTCACGTAAAGGAAATGGAATAGCAGAAGCCATTGTGTTTGTATTGAAATGTGAATGAAAAAAAAAAAAAGCAAAAAAAAGTAAAGATTGCTAATGAAAGAGGGTTTGTTTATTCCTTTTGGCTTCTCTCTTTTAAATTTTTACAGAAAAAAAAATAAAAGAGGGAAAAAAAGCAGCTTATTAATGGCGCAGCTCAAAGGAATGAATTTATTATTTTTATTCTCCTTTCCGATAGGACAATAAATAGAACAAATCAAATTAAGAATAATAAAATTAATCAATTTTTTGCACCACAACTTACTGGAAACCATATAAATTAGTCAGTAAATAGAGGATAATTTTGCTGGCGGGGTTGTCAAGTCTTCGGACCTCTGACACTTATTAAAATTGGAACGATACAGAGAAGATTAGCATGGCCCCTGCACAAGGATGACACTAAACTTCTGAGACGGATGCTCTACGGAGCAACATTTTTTTTGTTTTTTTTCGAAGGTGATGATGTCGGCATAACGCAAGAATTCTTATTTCACGACGTCAGTTATTCAAGGAACGTTGCTGTTGATTTTTCTTTAACTTTGATTACTGAAGCGAATTCGGTTCAAATCTTTCACTTTTGAAAAGTCAATCATTCAACAACTGAGTCAATTAGCCTTTTCACTTATTTTCTCTCGCTTTTCTTTCAAAAAAAAAAAAAAAAAAGTTAATTGCTTACATTGTCTTTTCTCCTTGCTTTTACTCTAAACCTTTTAGCGTTTGTTGATCTTTAATTATAAGACCTGTGTCGTATCCGAACACAATTCATGCTTATTGAAACTAAGGAAATTACCCTTACAACAACACTTACTAGTACATAACATCATTTCTTGATTCAGATGTCACAGTCGTAAAACTAGGAAACTCTTAATTAAGCTACTTTACCCCAGAACAACTGTTAGACCCACGTCAACTATAATCCCACAGTAAACTTGAATAGTATAAATAAGAACCACTCTTTATCAACAAAAAGGATTAATTCAATCTTACTGTATCTTATTGTCTATTACTACTTTTATATTATCACAACCCGATAGTCACTGCACTCTTTAATTCTACCTAAAAGCATATCGTATCTTAAATCGTCATATTACACAAACTGTTACATTACTATTTTAGCATTGAAGGAATGGTGGAGATTCTTTCAAAGTAACTGCATTATGCATCCCATTATGATAAGTCGAATTCATCTCGATGAACTCTTTGAAATGGAACCACTCAAGTGAATTCGTTTAGAAAACTTAAAAAAGTAATAATGATATATAGATAAAGCATTATCTGGAAAATATATTATCTTTGTATTAACCTATATCATATACCTTTTTCTTTTAAGTAAGTCTCTTTTGCTTATAAAAGAACAGGCCTTATTTTTCTTATTTTGCTAATTACGTTACTTAATAATAACCTCACGTATTTTTATAATTCTATATTTACTTTTGTAAAACTATATACTTGATAATGAGTCTCTGCTTGATCTTTACACAAAACAATGTTTAGCAATAACAAGCTTTTAATATCAAAAATGTTTAAGCATGTTCATCTACTTATCCTATAGTTAGGACATTAACTTAAATTCTTTTATCTACAGACAAGAGCTTTTCCAAAAAACTAAAAATTACAATAACACGAAGGTTACACCCGATTGTGCGGACTTTTGTTCAAGATCGCTTAATTTAACAATCTCGGTATTATGAAAACTTTATTATTTTGAAAAAGGCTGAAAAGATAGACGCCAAAAGCATAAAGGTACTCCCTCTTTTTGAAATCAAGTCAAAACAATTCAATTCATATTTTTATCTTTTTATTCTAATAAATAGGTAACCTTTTGTGATAAACCTTTCTGATATCTTTGTCTTTATTCATCTTACATTTGATCTTATTTACAAGGTCTGGTGATCACTTTAAACGTCCAAGCTTACAAAAAAAAATAAGAAAACTCTTTGACTTAACAATAACTCGCTTAATTTTCGAAAAATGAAGACTTCTTTTTTACGCATTTTTACTATTTAATCTTTTTATATTGTTTATAGCAATAATTCCATTGTAAACAAGATTCATGAACTTGCACCTAATAGTATCTTCAACCCACATAGTGTCACACAATGCTATCAAACAATGTTATTAATTCTCCTCTTATTTTACCCATATAAATAATCCAATATTCTGGAAAGAGAAAAAATAGATATCTGCTCCAGTTAGAGCGCTTTTATGTTCTCTTAAATCGAGCTTTCTGTTGCTAGCTATAAATGTGTCTTGCTTTTGGTGCTTTTTTGTTCAAACATATTGAATTTACATTCAAGAATGATCCAATGTTCGTTGATGTGCTCAAAAGCGGATATCAGGTCCATTCTCTTGGTCATGCTAACTTTTAGAGCACGATGACTGCTTTCTGATCTCTGCATCGTAAGACAGCTGTAGTGAGTCAACTTTTTTGTAAGGTGGGCTACTCATTTCTCTTTCATTGGTAACCAATTATTGGTAAAGTAATTATGGGCTTTGTACTTTCCATACAATCATCTAAGCCCTTCCTCACTTTATCGTTAACAAAATCTGTTGTGTTTTCAGAGTCTTGTGCCTTGTCCATATAAACATCCAGACAGCTGTTAAAAAAGTCGACATCTTCAGAAGGGAGCTTTTTTTTTTTTTTTTTTTTTTTTTTTTTTTTTTTCAAAAAAATTGATGCATTCATGCTTGAAAATTGGCCAAAAGCCCATTTTGACAGTGACCTTTAACCTCAAAAACGATTACTTTTTACCGGTGATTAGAGAGGTGACGTTTAATGAATAAAGAAACTTCAATCTAAACAGTATTATGCTCATTTTAACTATCTTGTAAAGACATTTTTTTAACTTTACTTTAAAAATGTAAGCCTTGTACATGATCTGAAAGCCTCGTTGAGAATAAACACAAATATAATGTGCTGTTCTAAAGTTCTAAAAACCACATGAATGTTTTCATATTTGAACATATATTATTTTCTATTAATAAATGTCTCTTTATTTCTACATTTCCTTTCCTTTGTTCTATTGACTTTATGATGAAATACTCTTATTGGTATTAAGTACAAGTTGCATAAAAAGAGAAAAAGATAATCGCTTGGCAACAAGGATAAATTTCATTTGATAGGCTATAATGTATCTCAATTCTGATTGGCTTTGATCTGTTATTTTTTTTTTATAACTTTTTCCTTGTTATTTTCCTTCTTTCCTTCGTATTAATTGACTATTTGGTGTGAAGTTGGTTATGGCGTATATAAAGAGATCTTGCTACAAGTGCGGAAACGGTATGTTTGGAAAAAATCTACGTGTGTGTGCATACTCTTAATTTTTTATTTCTCTAGTTGGACATTTTGCTAATGTGTGTCCAGAAGCTGAAAGACTTTGCTATAACTGTAAGCAACCCGGACATTTGTCTGCAGAATGCAACAATCCCAAGGTTATTGAGCCTAAGCAGTGCTTTAATTGTGGAGGAGGTAAGATTAAACGAGAATTTGACCAAGTTGAGCTTAATCAAACGCGCAATGTGCTTATTCTAGTGGGTCATATTCAATCACAGTGCACGAGTGACCGTTCTGTCAACAAGACGAACAGAAACAAGCCTCAGTGTTTCAATTGCCAACAATATGTAAGATTATTGTTTTTGATTTACCAATGATGGAGGGAACAATGTTACTAAATTAGTTTATATATATTAGGGTCATGTAGCTAAACATTGTACTCAGCCTCCACAGCCTAGAGAACGTCGTCGCAGCAGCAGCAGCAGCAGCAACAATAACAACAACAGCAATAACAATAATGTTATTCCACGTAAGCCTCGTATGAACACTAGAAACAGACAAGTTATTTGTCACAAGTGTGGTGGGATCAATCATTTTGCAAAGGATTGTAAGGCAAGCGACATTCTTTGTTATAATTGCAACAAGTATGGTCACATTGCTCGCGAATGTCCTATTACAATGTCATCATCAAAGCCTGATTACCCAAAGAAGCGTAACAGCGGCAAGGCTTGCTATGTATGTGGAAAGGTTGGACATATTGCTCGTAACTGCTTTGTAGCCAAGAGACAAAGAGACGATGAAAGCGAAGGAGAAGGAGAAGAACATGAAGATGAAACTGAGTCTGAAGAAGAAGAATCCTATGATGAAGAAGACGAAGAAGATGAAGAAGAAGATGAAGAAGAAGAAGAAAGAGTAAAGTCAGAAAAGCAAGAGGTCAAGGATAACAGTAAACATTAGACATTTCTTTTTTGAAAAATATTCGTCGGAATTTTAAAATAAATGGTCGGTATGCGGAGATTGAACGTTTATCTTTATTTTTTTTTCTGCTCTTTCCAGGCATTTCCCCTTCTTTTTTTCTTTTTCTTTTTTCATATTATGAATAGATTATTAAAGTTATTAGTTGTATCGTTTACCCTCTTTGCTGTTGTCAGTAGTCAGTTAGATGATCCAGTTGAACAAGTAATTGAAATGAAAAAGAGAGAGGGAGGAAGGCTTGCTTTTTATTATTCTTACATTATTGTTGCATAGTTGGTAGATGCGAATATTGCATCTGTGGATTCATCTGTCAATGAATTAGATCATGACAATACAATCAAGATTGAAAAATCCTTTTTTCTATCTCTGCTCATGATTATTGTTTCTGAAATTGGTGACAAGACCTTTTTAATTGCTGCCATTATGGCCATGAAGCACTCTCGCCTTGTTGTCTTTTCTGCTGCATTTTCCTCATTGGTCCTCATGTCCGTTCTTTCAGCTTTCCTTGGTCATGTTGTGCCTAATCTCATTCCTAAACAGTATACTGATATCTGTGCCTCTATTCTGTTCCTTTGTTTTGGCGTCCGTATGTTTTATGAAGCCTATCATTTAGAAAAAGGAGCTGAAAATGAAGAGATGGCAGAAGTAGAGGAAGAACTCAAGACAGTTGAAGATCGTGAACGATCTAGTAAGCTGGAAGAACTTGAAGTCGGCGGATTGGAAGCTGCAGCTCATGTTCCTAGCAGTAAAGCAGAGCATGCCAAAGAAGGATTGATGAATTTGATGCAACTAGTATTTTCACCTGTGTTTGTTCAAACCTTTGTCTTGACCTTTTTAGGTGAATGGGGTGATCGATCTCAAATTTCTACTATTGCCTTGGCTGCTGCTAATGTAAGTTGTTCTTTATATATTTTTATGGGCTTATAATAATCATGATTTGTAGAACATGTATTATGTTACCGCTGGTGTTGTTATCGGACATGGAATGTGTACAGTAGTCGCAGTGATTGGTGGTAGAATGTTGGCTTCAAAAATCTCTGTGAGAACAGGCAAGTAAAAAGGATGAAAGAGGTATATAGGTTTACTTATGATCTTTATAGTTACTTTTGCTGGCGCACTTCTTTTCATTGCCTTTGGTGTCTTTTATGGTGTTAATGCTTATCATAATTATTGATTCTTTTATATATAGCACACACAAAATATACATATAACATATATATATACATTACATATGCCGCATTATTACTAATCATTACGCACACATATATACACTTTTGTAACAATGTAGCTTCAATAAATAACGATAGACTCTTGTAAAGTTAAGATGATCATTCTTGAAACATATCTCTTTTTCTCTCACACAGCAATGGCGCAATTGTGTAATGAAATGGTTAATCATTCATGCAACAAAGCATTATATAAATCGTGACTTTTTATATACATATTTTTTACTGCTTCCCTTGCCCTTTTTTTTATTTATTCTTTCTTTTTATCTTTTTAAAAAACATGGTTCTCAGACTTGGTGACACTGCTCCTGGTAAAGAAAGAGGACAGGGCGGTTCATACTCAATATTAACCACTATGTATACAAATAGACTTTGAAGCAAAGACAACTAAAGGTGATATCAAATTTCACGAATTTATTGGTGATAAATGGACTATTCTCTTTTCTCATCCTGCTGATTTTAGTAAGTATTCCAATTTATATTTATATACATAATCAATTTATGACGCGCGTTAATGTATAGCGCCTGTATGCACTACCGAACTTGGCCTTGTCGCTGCTCTTCAAGATGAATGGGATAAGCGTAACGTGAAGGTGATTGGCCTCTCTGCCAATGGTCTTGACGAACACGAAAAATGGATTGCTGATATTAATGAAATTAGCCATGTTCAGCTCAATTTCCCCTTGATTGCTGATGCTGATCGTAAGGTCTCTGAGCTATATGACATGTTGGATCATCAGGTATAAAGTGTAAAGAGGGGGCCCAAGGTGTGATTTTTTATGCTCACAGATAGCTCATAGGATGCAACCAATGTGGATGCAAAGGGTATTCCATTTACTATTCGCTCCGTCTTTATCATTGATCCTAAAAAGACAATCCGATTGATACTCACTTACCCTGCCTCTACTGGTCGTAATTTTGATGAGATATTGCGTGTGGTCGATTCTCTTCAGTTGGGTGACAAGCACCGTATTACCACTCCTGGTAACTGGAAGAAGGGTGACGATGTCATCGTTCATCCTTCAGTCTCTACCGAAGAAGCTCAAAAACTATTCCCCAAGGGTGTCAAGGTCATCAAACCTTATTTACGTTTAACCCCTTCTCCCTTTTAAATATCAATATACATGTCATGTTCTATTTAACTATTATTCGATTTTTGATTGGATCATTTCATTTGTTGCATAATGATCTAGAGTCGACGTAAGCGGTTTAGTGTGTTTTGCTCATCTTTTATGTCATTTGTATATGTGTGTCCTTTTTTTTTTTTTTTTTCTTTTCCTTTTTTTCATTTTTCTCTTACGCATCATGGATATCGGTGAATTAAAGAATCCTTTTTCAAAAGACGCAGACACCAAGAATACACAAACTGGTACTCATGGTCCATTCAAGATTGGTGATTATGACGAAAAATCTAAACCCAAACAACAAAGCAATGATAACACGACTCAAGATGATCGTAGTCTAACAGAACACATCAAAGACAAGCTAACTAAATAAACGTTTTTATTATTTCTTCTTTTCTTCTTCTTTCTCTTGTTTGGTCTCTGTGGCTACTTTTTCATTTGCTTCTGCAATATCTTGCTTCTTTGCCAATCTGAACACAATAAGAAATAATGCAACCACAACTCCAGTTGAGACGAGGACACTAGGTGAAGTGAATCTATACATGTGTGTATAAGTTATCTGTGTATATACATTATAAAAGACACGCTTACGACATTGGTGGTTTCTTATCTTTGGTCTCTTGAACATATCTTTCTTGACGGTGACCTGATTTAATATCGAGTAATTCTACGTCAAACACGAGAGTCGCTCCACCAGGAATAGCACCACCTGCACCGCGATCACCATAACCTAAATGAGGAGGGATGACCAATCGACGCTTTTCACCAATACACATTCTATGTTTGCGTGTAAGTCTTTTTATATATATTATCGTTTTTTTTTTCTGTACCCTACTAAGCCTTGGTCCCAGCCTTTGATGACTTGACCTGCCCCGAGAGTAAAGACAAAGGGCTCGTTACGATCCAAACTGCTGTCAAACTTGTTACCAGTGTCAAAAAGAGTACCGGTATAATGCATAGATAACTCATCACTATTGTATATATATTTTTTGTTCAGTTTCTAAAGCAATGAAGCATAATGTTTCTGTTATACCCATTGTGTGATTTCTGTGTGCATTCAGAAGCAGGAATTCTCTTTTTGACTCCTATGATGTGACATTTTGAGTTTATGAATCAATCAATCAAATAAACAAGAAACTTACCCACTTGGAGTTGAGTAGGAGGCTCTCTTAAAGCAGAAACAGAAGCAAGACCACCAAGCAGTAATAATAAACCAAAACGCATTGTTTACAAAGAATAAAAAAAAAAAGGGAAAATGCTGCAAACCCGTCATATTGATTTAAAAATTACACTTTTTATGCCGTGTGTGATAACCTGGTTGGCAGATAAATAAAGCTTTTTTTAATTATGTGCAGCACAAGTGTGTTTATAAATAAATAGTGTGTGTATAAATATATTTACAGAGATTATGTATTACATGACACTAGTTGAATGCGACTTGTTTACATTGTGGGATAGTTCAATAGAATCATGAACTTGAACAGATCTTATTTCTTCTGTTGATCCTAGTTTACAACTACTAGTACTACTACTGGCATCATTTCTTGCATGTGGTCCAGATATAGTCCATTGTACGGGTAAATCAAATGCCTGTGTTGCCAGTCGTTCACGTTGTTGTTGATGTTTGATATGTTCTAATTGAATTAATGCTTCTGCTGCAGTAGACGGGTGATGAGCATCGGGTCTTTGGTCAATGAGTGCTCCACTAAAGATCAATTGGATCTCCTCCAAAGATCGTCCCTTGATAAAGAGAAGTTATGAGGATCAATTCTGCTTCAATATATGACCTACTTACCCTAGTTTCAGGATAGAACAAATGAACAACAATGCCCATGAGCAAACACATACAGGCAAAGAATAAGTAAGTTCGCCATGATATGTTCTTAAACATGATGGGCGAAACCAGGGCGATGAATAAACTAAATAAATAACTACATGATGTCGTAACACCCATAGCATTGGCTCGTAACATTTGTGGATAGATTTCTGCAGGATATATCCAACCAATAGGTCCCCTAATCGTTTGAATTTAGTGTGATAGCATAATGTACATATTGATACATACCAACTTAGAGCAAAGACAGCTATGAATATACACAGCAGCACTGTCACAGTTATGGAGCCTCCTTTATTGGTGATGCTTGTATTAAAGCTCATGTTATTATCTATATGTTTTTCAGTCAGTGCCTTCTCAAACATGGCAGATACAATTGTAATGGCCACCATACAGACAGTCATTCCCAGAGCACCTGTGATCAATATTCGCCGTCTACCCCAACGATCGATCTAGTGTATGGTTAGTATGTATATTATGAAAAGCTGTTAATCGTAGTTACAAATAATATCACAAAAAGCGTCGCAACAAAGTTGACAAGTCCACCGATACCGTTGCTTAATAAAGCAGCGTAAATCTGAGATATTCCTGCACTTTCGATTATATGGGGGAAATAGAATCTGAAAACAAGTTTTAATATAGCGTATGTCCTTTTTTATATCACTTACAAAATGGCATTAATTCCAGATAGTTGAGTGAATGTGTGGATGCCTATGCCGAGCAACGTTCTTTTGCGATTGTTATCATTCCCTTTTGTAAGCAGGCTCAAGAATCTATGCTTATAAGCCATTTTATCAAAAGAAACGTCCTGAACAATACTTGTATATTCCATCCGCACATCCACATCGTTCTCATTTCCGCGCGATCTAAGTGAGGCCAATATCCTAAGTGCTTCTTCAGTTCGATCCTTGTAGATCAGCCATCTTGGGCTCTCAGGTATGAAATAGATACCAAAGAGGAGTAATCCTCCCGGAATGGTCTGCACACCTAATGATATTCTCCATGATCTCTCTCCTTCAATGTGGTATGTACCATACCCCGTCCAAAACGCAACACAGAATCCAAACGTAACAAAAATTTGGTACATTGTGATCAATCGTCCTCTGTTTTGTGGTTTGGCAATCTCGCTTTGATCTGTTTTATAAAGTGTTATTTACAGCATAGTATTCAAAAGTGAAGAATTACATAGAGGCACAAGCATAGCAAATATACTAAATAAAGAAAAGGTTAAACATGACCTTTTTAACTCTTTTTATATATTACCCAACGCCTAAGCCTGTCAGAATCCTACCTGCGAAAAAGGAAGGCGTATTTTGACCTGCAACTTGCACAATGCAGCCAATGGTGTGTATGATGCTAGCAACAAAAAGGAATTGTTTTCTACCTAATGCGTCTGCTACAAATCCTGATATCTATTGTAATCGTGATAATAAGAATAATGAATTTGCATATAATGTGAAAGCAACTACGCTTACAAATGAAGCAATAAAGGATGCTGCTAAAGGTACTGATATAATAGCATGTCCTGCTGGACTATCTTCATAGAAGCCATATTTCTTATCAAAGGATGGATAAACGAGAATGGATGTAAGAATTCCGCTGTCGTAGCTAGCAAAAGAAGATAGAGTCAGTACGAATAATATGCTGTATGTCTGATAGGTACCCATACTAACACACACAGAGAGAGAAATGGGTTAATGATGTATATATATATATATCAATATATAATATCAAACTTACCATAAATCCACCTAGTGATACAATGCTACAATATTTTATGTTAATTCAGACAGATAAAAACAAGATAATATGACAAGTTTATTTACCAACAAATAACATAGATTTTAAATTGTGAATCAAGTAACAGCCTCATGGACCGAGATTAGTATTTGACAATATATAGCCACACTTATTTGTTATCTACAGTGGCTTAAGGAGTAGAAAGGTGACAAGAAGTGTATGTGTGTGTTGTTATGTAAGAAAAAAAAAAAGAATAGCTATAAAAAGGAAAAAAAAGAAAGAAAGAGAGGGCGTTATGTAATTTAATGCGAAAGTTTGAGAGTTAATGAAATGGTTGGCTGCTGACATTCTATTGTTTCAACCATCCTCTGGGGGTGAAATATCACGCTCTTTGAATGACATGGTCCTTTAGTTTTATACCAATGACGCGGATAGAAACAAGTGAAATATATCATACATGTTTAATAATCAAAAGGTCTTTTATTTTCGCAAGTTGATATAACAAGTGTACCATCTGCTCAATGGCACTGCCAATAAACGATAATCCCTTTTTTCTCTTTTTTTACTTAGTCTTTTCTTTCTCAAGCACCATGGTTACATGGTTTGATGAATGAATGATGGATTGAAGGTAACTGAATAAATTTAAAGTATCCTGAGTAAATGACCCTAATTGTAATCATTAGTATTGTAATTTCTGCCTCCCAATTTATCATGTATGCTTTATTGTTCTCTTCTTCTTCTTCATCATTGCTTTATTTTGTAAAGCTTCTCGCATTACGCGCCTGAAAGGGTCTAACAAAGTATGTGTTGCATACAAAGACTAGAGCACAGCAATAATCAATGGTATAAGCTTTCCTTTTCTAGTTATGATCAGGTTGAGCCCATTCCCGTGTTGCTAGTAAAATAGATTGATCAATTGCTTGGTAATCCATTAAAGTACATAATAATGTTATCTCCATCCACGCACTGATAGTGATATGTGAATGAAGGTATATACATATGTATAGTGCGCAGAGAAGTAATTGATCTTTATCAAAGTGTCTATCCGAATAAGTAAAACAGTCCGGTAAGAAGGGGCAGTAATAAAGTTAATTTCTCTACAGGCTAATACATCACTGACAACGCTCTTTACTGCTTTTATACTAACTCTCTATTGCAGAAAGGAAGCATATATGCAATGTTCACATAGTCAAGAAAAGGCGTATAAAGCAATCACAATCACACAAGCTAACGTCATTTTGTGTCAACTTTATTTTGCTGTGTATTACAACTTATGTCACTTCTTTTCTTTTTCTAAATATCTATCTTTGTCTTTACCCAAATCATATGCTTGAATAGCTTTTAGTTATCGTAGCAAAACAAAAAGTCTTTAATTTATGCTAAAGATGCACCACAGCCACTTCACATGACGGTTAGTCCAAAAAAGAAATCGAGCCCCCTTCCTTGCCCAGGCGCAGACGCCCTTTCAAAACGACTATTTAGATGGGACCTTGCATTACCCAATCCTTCTATCCCACCCCTTTTTGCTTAATATTCTAAGCAGAAAATGGCAATTGTTTGTTCCTATGGCGAATCATCCGCTTGATAAAAATTCGTCTATTGTTTTGTATATGACATCAGTTTATTTGTAATAGGAACCCAAAGGAAAGGCAGAAATTTATACTCTATACACATATATACGGCGTACTTTTTTTTTTTTTTTTAAAAAAAAAAAAAAACATTCAGGCAAAGACAAACAAAAGATGATGAGGACTTATAAACTCTTCAAAGGGCATTTGCCTTTTCTCCTCCTTTATTAACAAGGCTTAAGAACACACAAGAAGCCATTTAAAGTAATCATAAACAATCAAAAGCTGAGTTACTTAAACTTTATCTTACACTGCCCGTTCCCCGCTTTTTTCCTTTTTTTTCTTTCTTTTTACACTTTTTCATGTCTCCTTTTAGTCATCTTTTTGTATCAAAGAGTCGTAAAGTACCTTTTGAAGTATCGATTATCATTAGAGATTTAGTGAATATACCACTTGTTAGTGGATACTATTATGTCAGTTGGAAATTAAAGCACGCAACACACACAGGAGGATCAACACCAAGGTTAATATGTGCACACATGTTCTAGTCTCATAGATACTAAGTTCATATAGTGTTCACATCAAGGACCACCAAGTAACATGGAATTATCCTATTAATACGATGTCAAAGTTAGTGATCGATAAACACCAAATGCTGAGTGATTGTGAACTCAAGTTGGAAATATACCAAAAAGGCGGTATCAAAATTGGTACGTTGAGCATCAACTTGTCTGAATATGCTGGTTCAGGTGTTATCACTGAGCGATACCTATTACAAGATTGTAAATTCAATTCTACGATAAAGGTACCCTGCAATGTATATATGTATATATTACTAACCATTCACTCACCCCCATCTTAGCTTACATTACGGATGAATACTAAATCCGATGGTTATCCACAATTCCAAACGCAAGTATATTGAAGTCAACAATGTTTATTTGCTAACATCTGCTTGATATAGTCCGCCCTTGTCAAGGAAGCAGATATTTAAAGATATCCCAACTGTTGTTCATGAGCGAAGTCTGGATATTCCACAACAATATAAACAACTAAGAAAGTCTCAGTCCGTGATGTCACTGGTAAATAATATAGAATTCAGCTCAATAATACCTATTAATTGTATATGCTATACAGCCAAAATATTGTAAAGTACAAAGTAATACACTAGATGAACCTTCACCGGTTGACTTGGTCGAACAATTGTTTGCACATTAGAGTTGTACTACATTTAAACATAAGCATAAATATATACATAATCATAAAAAAAAAGAAGCATAAAATAAATAGGGAGGAATGACTTTACTGTATGCCATGATGATTCACTTTTGATGAGGCCTACTTCCATACTTGGTTATGTATGAGCTAAATTGAAACAATATATTAATAAGTTGCGCGTAATATATTTCATATATCTTGGTTACCTAATGAATTTGCGCAGTTGGAAATACCATAAAAAGCAGGCCATTATCACTCTGTATCGCTCTTTTACCAAATTAGTCCTTCTCTAACGTTTTCTGTCACCATTTACAAGAAAGACGTTTGGAATTTATTTTTGGACGAATAGATTTAGCTTTCAGATAATTTTGTTACCTACACCTTTTTATATGAGCATAAAAACAGTTTCAATGTTAGAGAAGATACAGTGTGAAGAAACATGAAAGCTGGCATCGTACTACAATGCAGTGGTTGTATTTTGTAAAAATTAAATAAAGAATAAAGTAACAATTCTATTCAATACCTTTCACTTTTATGGCCCTTTACGTGACAGAAGGGATAGAGTATAGTCAATGAGATTGAACATTACTGAAATTTATTAGATAATTAAAGGCATAAGGACCCCGCATAACTGCTCACGAGATGGCGGGGACGAGACAGCTGCATAAAATACAAGAAACTGTCGTACATTCAAGTGTTGCAGATTGTTTTATTGACACACGAATTTCTTAATATCTTTCTCTTGACCTTGAGTATCTACGTCTTCTTGTCCTGTCATCATACCTTCTGTCTCTTGATCTTTCTCGATAGCGTTCATACTCATCAAATTCATCTCTTCTTGACCTTCTCGGGCTCTTTGATCGACTCTTATGTCTTCTATCATAACTTGATGATCTATCTCTGTATCTTCTGTCATAAGGCGATCTATCCCTATGTCTTCTGTCATGACTTCTGGATCGACTTTTGTACCTTCTATCACTGTGATCACTTTTATCACTCTCATAATTGTCTTTTTGACTATATTTCACCTTTAGCCCTCTTATTCACAGCTCATGTTCTTACTTACTCTGGTCCCTTTTCCTTTTTCTTTGCTTCGTCATATTCTTTCAACTTCTTCTCTAAATCGCGAGCAATTGGAATTGGAATGCGAGGAAGCATAGTACCTTGAAACTTGAGTTCAGTGATCAACATCCGAATAAGGTTTCCTACTGTCACTTTGGTAGGATGTAAACCACTGCTAATAGCTATCTCTTCATCGTCTTCCAAGTAATACTGAAACCAGTCCCAAAGTTTAGCTGGTGCACAAACATAACGCAAATAGAGAAATCCAATGGCTCGAATATATCTATAAAGAAATGAGTCACCCAGTCGAAACTTTGTCTCTACTTATACTAACGGAGAGTCACCGTGTTCAACCAAGTTTTCAATCTGTCGAATTGTTAAGCGAATCGTCCATAATTTAAATAATAAACAAAACGCTGTCGAAGGTTGATTTCCTTTAATAAAAGGAGCTATTGTGTGATGAGTAGATTGTCCTTGAAAATGTTTTTCTTTTTTTCTTCTTTAGTTAATTACTTAGTACTGTAACTATTATTTGCATTAGAAAAAGAGAGCTTTAATATTAGCATCATGTTGTCATTTACCTTCATTGTAAATCTCATCTACAATTTCATGAAAGGTCTTCTTTTCACTAATGTGTTTTACATGAAAAACAAGTTAATTTCTTGCGAGTAGGATTAAAAGAATAAGAGAGAGAAAATAAAAAGCCCAACAACTTACTAAAGAGAGCGAAAATAAGGAGAAGAGAGAATATTTTGATAGATGATTGCATTCATATTCATCGTTGTCTCATTTCCCCACGTCTCTAAACGATTATTTTCTTTCTTGCCCATATTTGAAGTAAGGAAGAAAAAAAAAGAAACATGCAGAAAAGCACTAAGTTGTCTTTTAAGTTTCAATTCCCGACTTTTTTTGGACGTCGTAGGCGGGGGGGGGTATCAACTTTGTCGACTCTGTGAAGCTTGAACAGTAAACTTTTAGTCAACTTCTTTACAGTAATTTTTTTTTATATTTTTGTTTGTATTTTTCTCTTCAATTTCAGGTTCGTTTCCTATAAATGTAAGATTAGAGAATATAGCCATACAAATATTTTAGTTAATTTTTACCTTTTATGTCTTGTAGTATAGCACTTTCAATTTCTGCTTGTACTCTGGCTTGTTCATAAATTCTTTTAACTTGCGAATAGCGAGCCTCTACTTTGTTCCAGAAGGCTACTGTAGCCGAGTTTTTCAAGTACCCAAGGGCTTTTAAATAACTCGTTAAGTCAGTTAAGAAAAAATGCGATACTTACTTCGAAGTCGTTTAAGATTAATAGTGTCAATAAATCATTGACACTTTTTTAACGCGAAAGCAGCTCCTTGCAAAGCATGTTCAGCAGATTGCCGAGTTTCAAAGTTGAAATACTCGTAGAAATCAACAAGGCTGAACTAACTAATTCGCATATATAATAACAAGCATAGGTCAGATTCGCGTTTACCTTAGACAATTTCATATTGGGAGTAGAAGTTGCTGGTGTAACGGTAGTGGCATGATTACAGCCAGCCGTCGTTGCTTTGAACATTACTTTGATAAGATACGCCACTGTACTTTCAGAATTTATTGCTTAAACTGCTAAATTAAAACCAGTAAAGGAAGCATTTGCTTTGACGAAGAGAGATAAGCGCGTAGTTTTGTCGATATTTAAGTTTTAAAAAGGAGAATATGGTGGCATAAATAATGGTTTATATTCAATTTGCCTCACTGTTTGACCTGAAAATGACTTAAAAGCGTGCAAAGCAAGGCATATTTTTTTTTAAAAAAAGAGGGTCCTTCCCCCAAACGATCAACATGGTTTTTTGCACATTTTAAATTACTTTTTAAAATAATTTTTTTTGTGTCATGGAGTCTTTCAAGAAATGGGCAAATGACAATGAAATCAAAACGAATGGAGTAACTATAGAAACGACACAATACTCAGGAAATGGATTGTTTGCTTCAAGCCACATTAAAGAAAACACATGTGTAGTTGAAATACCAGAAAATCTTATCTTGACTGCATCCAAGGTCTTAAAGACAGGTGAACAACCATTTTTGTCGCCTATCTACAAATACTTTATGACCCACTATGAACTGCACTCAGAAGAAGAAGTGAATTCAATAGCTATGGAGCAAGAGCGATTATTGTTATGCTTATTCCTAATTTATTATCAATTCTTTGCAACATCCAGTTCTTGGACTCCCTACATGCGTATTCTCCCAAACACGGATTATTTCAAAGACAAGCATTTATTCTTTAATGACTTCATCATAAAAGGAACATGTCTCGAGACGTCTGTCAGAGCCAAGTTATCAGTCCTGCGTCATGAGCTGGATGAAATCAAAAGCCAAGGTAGTGGCTGGCTTTCAGATATTGAATGGGATATGTACGTCTGGGCAGACTGTGCTTTTTGGTCACGCGCTGTTGGTATTGGTGAAAGTGAAATTGCTGTAGAAGCCAATTTAGCACTTGTGCCTTTCTTTGATCTTGCTAATCACTCGCTCGATAACTCTAATATTAGGTGGATATTAACAGAGAGTAATAACCTTCAATTAGTCTCGACACAAGACATCGAAATAGACCAAGAGTGTTGTTTGTCTTATGGATCAAAGCCAAATCAAGAACTGTTATTTATCCATGGGTTCTCTATTCCAGGTAACCCAGAACTTTCTCGGGCGACAATCCCTATAGCACGCATCGTAGACCCTTCGTATCCCTTCGATATGATCAAGATTGAGTGGTTAAAGACAATAGGAGCAAAGTCATTTTTATCTCTTATGCCTCAAAAGGTCAGTGATTGCGACGACTGTTTCATTGCGGAAGGATGGTTACCTGATTCTGTTGCAACTGTCTATCTGATTGCGCTATCAGAAGATGATGACATCCTATTCTCTTCTCAAGGCAAAGACGATCAGCCTATTTTGATGCTTAATGACAGTCATGGGGAAGTGAAAGGTTTAGACGATCTACTGAGTAGAGTGAAGCGATTAGATCTTTTCCCTGTTATTCAGACAAGGGCTGCTGTGTTGTTCTGGGAGGCTGTAGAACAGTGCTACAGTTTAAATGTGGATAATGATCCTGCTAAACTTGGCTATGCTGAGCATGACTCTGCTAAAGCATTCTTGCTGGAGCAAGCACATATATATCGTCTTGAAGAGCAAGACATCTTGAACAAGGCTCGATCATGGTTATTGAAAATGCAAGATGAGCTCTCACAAAATGAAGTCGTCCAGGCTTATTTGAAAGCTGTTGCAAATCAATAAAAAGAAACACAATGCCATCGGCTAGTTTAACTCATTTTCATTGGATAGCTCTGAAACGCAGTAAATGAGGACTTGAAATTTTGCAGCAGTAGAGAGAGTCCTTCTTTTTTTAAAATTAAAAAATGTCTAGACATAGAGCAATTCGAAACCTTGACGTCAATGGTACGCTTTGAATGCTTTCTTTAACATCCTATTGACAACAAATAATAAATAGACGTTCTTGATGAGGATGATTATGAAAGTTCTTTTGAAGAAGAAGAAGTACAAGACGAATGTAAGCATAATGATACAATAATTCTTACAACTCACTCTCTTCAAGTCGACGAGTCTCAGCTTACAAACGAAGATCTTGATTTGTTGTATGAAGGATTAGACTATATACATGATGCCGTTGGTAAAAATGACGTGCTGAGCGATCGTCAGATCAAAGAAACTCTGTGGTACTATTATTTTAATAAGGAAGATACACTGGACTGGGCTTTGGGTATTTATGACATTTAATAGCCTTTTAATATATACATGTACTAAATCAAATTAGAGGAAATTTCAAAAGCAAAGGCTCTAGAAGCAAAGAAAAAAGCGAAAGCCAAGAAAGGTAAACAAAAAAAAAAAAAAAAAATAGGGAATGAGCTTTTATTTGTGTGTGTTGCCCATTTTTCTTTTTCTTTTTTTCTTCCCTCTTATTTTTTAAATTCAATCATGTCAAACGAAAAAAAGAATTTGCCTTCTTTATCAGCCTTATCGCGTCAAAATACAAATTCATCAGGTGGAAGTTTAGCACAGTTAAAGCAAAAGATGCAAACCCAAGCTACTTCAAAACCACTATCACCTCTACAAAGCCTAGCTCAGAAAAGTACTAGTAATGCTACCAACATCTCACCTTCTCTTGCTTCACTTGCACAACGCTCTACGCCTAAAACTAATAGCTTGACTCATTTGGCCAATCGAAATTCATCCGCGTCAATTGCCAAACCGACATCAGCAACAGGTGCAGGGTTATTAAAGTTATCAAGTCTTGTCAAACAACCAAACAAGATCGTTTCAGAACCGCCCAAAGAACAAACCAAGCAAGAGGATTCAGAAAGCAATAGTGACAAGTCAGGTGAAAACACCGAAGAGGAACAAGAAGAAGAAGAAGAAGAAGATAACCCGCTTTGTGCAAAGCCTTCTGCAGCGGCTCAATTCTTGTTTGAACCACAGCCAAAGGTTGTCCCAGCTAAAGAAGTCAACTTTTTGACAGCTTCACTTCAGGCCATGTTTTATGACGACCTAAAGAAATCAAGTTCAATTCCTATTTTTACATTCGACAAACCAAGCCCTGATGATATCGTACTTGCAGCTCAAAGTCAACGCGGCGCAGGCTCAACCAAGAGAAGTTAAACCTACTCATCTATCTTCTTTCTCTTATCCTCTTTTTCTTAAAAAGGGGTTTTCATTTTTAAATGTTTTTTATAACCGCTCATCCCTATTTCCTCTTTGCTTCATACCGGCTAACCCTTTATCTGACATACAGACACACAAAAAAAGCCAGCACCAGCAGCAAAAACTCCTGCGAAGCAAACCACTCCCAAACCCACACCAGCCGCTTCATCTAAGGCTTCTATCCCCGCCAAAACAGAGGATGTTGAATTCTTATCAGATGAAGAACTCACAAAGGATATAAGTGCCATGGGCTTGGACGAAAAGAAAAAGGAAGCACCCAAGATCGAACCTGCGACCAAGATTCCTAATTCAAAACGAATCAATATTGTTGAAGAATATGAAAAGAGGTCAAAAGAAAAATCAAAGCTAAACTTGATTGTGATTGGTATAAAAAAAAGATACAGAAACAGAATGCACATAAAGTTAATGCTTTACTCTAGGCCACGTTGATTCTGGCAAATCAACGTTAATGGGACACTTTTTATATGATTTAGGACAAGTCAACGAAAGGACAATGCGAAAATTCGAAAGAGAATCACAAAAGATCGGCAAAGGATCATTTGCTTTTGCTTGGGTTCTGGATGAAACTGATGAAGAAAGAGACCGTGGCATCACGATGGACATTGCCACCAATTACTTTGAAACCAACAATCGACAGATCACTTTACTTGATGCTCCTGGGCACCGTGATTTCATTCCCAATATGATTTCTGGTACAGCTCAAGCCGATGCTGCCATCTTAGTTGCTCCTGCCATGGGATTCGAATCAGGATTTGAAGCAGGAGGGCAGACAAAGGAGCACGCCGTCTTGGCCAGAAGTTTAGGCGTTCAACAGCTGATAGTTGCAGTGAATAAGCTAGACTTGGTAGACTGGAGTCAGGAGCGGTTTGAAGAGATACGGTTCAAATTGAATGCATATCTTTTGCAGATCGGATTCAAAAAGAATAATATCAGCTATGTACCCGTGTCAGGGTTAACCGGAGAAAATCTAGTAAAGAAGAGCCAGTTGCCTGAATTGACAAGTTGGTACCATGGGCCGACATTGATGGAAGAGATCGATCGGTTTGAACCACCTACACGATTACTAGACAAACCACTGAGAATGCGAGTGACTGACTTTTTCAAGGGAGGCATTGGAAGTAGCGGAGGCGTATCTGTTGCAGGTCAAATTGAAGCTGGATCCGTGCAGATCGGAGAACAAGTCATGGTTGTACCAGGAAACGAAACTGGGTATATTAAATGTAAGTTTTGTTGGGGGAGAGGAAGAAAAGCTAAAGAATGTTTTCAAACATTGTAATACCTAGCATTACAAGTTGATGATGAGCCTACAACATGGGCTGTTGCAGGAGATTCAGTCATGATGACCTTGACTCATCTTGATATCCTAAATTTAAGGTAATGTACATGGATGCAGCAAAGGATAAACAAAGTACTGATAAATCTTAGCAACGGCTGCGTTCTCTGTACGCCATCAAATCCTGTCCCCATTACGAGCTCATTTGAGGCTCAAATTGTAGTGTTTGATGTGCGCGTTCCTCTAACACTTGGATACCAGGTTGTGCTTCATCTTGGTAGTTTGAATGAACCAGCTTCTCTTATTAAATTGGTGGAAGTATTGGATAAGTCAACAGGAGAAGTCGTCAAGAGGAACCCACGATGCCTGACAAAAGGAATGACGGCCAAGGTTCAAATCAAGCTGTCTCAACGAGCTATTCCGTTGGAAACATTCAAGGATAACAAACAATTGGGTCGTATCATGTTGCGCAAGGGCGGTGAAACTGTAGCAGCAGGCGTAGTTACGGAGGTAAACTATAGAATAGATTCATTTGCTAGAATGACTCATTACATGTTGTATAGATTTTATCCTTTGGATCATAGAGTATATAAAATAAACGTCATTATTATCACAAAGTGTACTACCATCAGCACCATTTAATGATGTAGTTTGGTGTAACGAGGTCAATGTGGTATGGAGCATTCTTTCTATGAGCCCCCCCCCCCCCCTTAGTCGTATTACAGTGTTTCGCGTTTGAAAAATAAAAAAAATTGGTGTCACCAATAAAAAAGATCTTCAGTAAAACTTTCTTGTGCTGAATAGAATTTACTGTTAGGCAGTAAAATCTTCTTGAATCTATACATTCCCCATATTCAAAAAACACAAGAAAATGTTTTTATGACGAATCCAGCCTCGACAGTCTTTTGGTGTAACTTTATTGGATCCTTCTTCAAGAATCACATTCTTCCCAAGAGGTGTTTTACGTACTTCTCCCTTATTTTTTGAAATCGAGCATGTTTTCGACAATTGTTTTGGACTTATGTACACCGCACCCTTCAAAGCCCATACTTCCCTCCACAACAAATTAATACGTGCATCCACCGGGAGATATCAATTATTTTCTTCTACGTTTTGCAATGTCAAATTAATGTCTATCTCTCACGAAAGTCTATATGAAGTCTGATTTCATAAGTGATTGAATACGTCAATATTTTAACCAAGCCTCATATATCATAGAAATAGCATAGAAGAGAGCTCGAATTCATACAGAAATAATGAGTAGCTTAACTTTTTTTTTTAGTTGAAGGAAACAGATGTTGAAGCAAAGAAATTTATTTTGTATAGCATCCATATAAGGTGACATAATGATAGAAATAACAAGTTCATTGAACCATTATATTTGTTACTAACCAAAAAATGCTCACTAAAAGTTAGTTGAATATATACAATGTAAAAAACATCATTTATATAAAGATACTACCGAAATATCAACGTGCATAAAGAAAAAAGAACGAAAGGTTGATATCTGCTCAGAGAACCTACCACTCCATAACTAACAAGCCTATAAATAGACTTGAAAATTAGAACAAGGTACAAACTAACTAACCCAAGAGCTGCTCAAATGATTCTTAGTCCCTTCTCGACAATTGACAATGAAGTAAAAGTCAAAATAGGCTTCGTACGGGGTTAATCAAATGCAGCTCAAGAGGAGCGTAATGTAAATTAGGAATTGTTCTTTGGAAAAAAAAACGAAAGAGCAGACCCAAACGGTGAACACTACGCGCACTAGGAAATCCACGAGAAGGCTAATGCTACGGGCGCTTCTTCAGGCACTATATGTGACATCATTTTACAGCTGCATGCTACCCAAAACGTCTGCCTAGCCTAAGGCTGTCCAGTGGGATATTCTTTGATAGAAAATACGTATCTACCATAATTGCTCTAGAATGACCTTGGCTCTTTGTTGATCAAATGACAACATAAAATAAGTAAAGAAATAACACTTTATTTCTTTCTCCTTAAAAGATAAACCCTTATCCTACATCAAGGAGCATGGAAAGATATTTGTTTCTGATCAAGCTTAACGTGATGCTACACATTGAAAAGGTTTGTTGCCGACATCACAGGTAGTGCTTGTAACATTAACTCTCTCGTGGATTTCCTCGTGCGCGTAGTGTACACCTCAAAAATACATTTTTAAACAATGATAACACCTAAATCTGAAAAATGAAAAAAAAACAAACAAACAAACTATACTATATCAAAGAGCCAAGCGAAAGATTTGAAGTTAGGATATGCTTTAATGGGCCTGGATGTTTCTAAATGGAACAAGTCCTTGACATTCTTCAAAACATTCTTCCAGTTTAGAAATGGTATTGTCAACTCTGCATATATCATCCAATCAAAGATTATCCAAGCAAATAAGTGTAACAACGCGACTAGCAACAAATTTAGTGATTCACGGCTGATATCTCCACCTCGTACCATGCAACAACCATCATCCCAAACTTGATATACGCCTCCAAGAAAGGCACAGAAGAAAAGTATATTTCCACACTACAACCTTCAGCTGTTGGAAGCCGGTTCGGATACTATAATTGAAGGTAGTATTCTCGATTCTCCTCCTCTCTCTGCTATTGATAATAACGAGGTTACCACAGAAGATTCCTTTGGGTTTGTAAAAGTAGGAAATGGATAGTACTATCCTGGCCTTCGAAAGTACTTTACCCATCCTTAGGAATGAGCATGTCTATTGCTATTATGATTTTTTTTTTATTTATTTTTAATTTCTATCATCATTCTATCGTCATTCCCGCATATCATTATTGTATATATGAGTTTTTAGCTTGAATAAAACCATCTTACAAAAAAAGACAAAGATATACCAGCAAGTGATTATTGTATCATATCCTGAAGAGATATAAAGTATTCAGTTATATAAAGACTTGATATTGGAACGAAGTGAATCCAATAAGAAACGACTTAGGTTGTTTTACTAAAAATTAACTGAAGAGTATTAAAATGTGGGAAGTTCCAGCCTCTTTATAGAATCCAATAATATTCATGAGCTGCTCCCTTTCTTCACTCTATCAATTGAACGGCGTAGACAATTCGCTGAGTATATTGTCGAAAACATGCTCGATTTCAAAAAATAAGGGAGAAGTACGTAAAACACCTCTTGGGAAGAATGTGATTCTTGAAGAAGGATCCAATAAAGTTACACCAAAAGACTGTCGAGGCTGGATTCGTCATAAAAACATTTTCTTGTGTTTTTTGAATATGGGGAATGTATAGATTCAAGAAGATTTTACTGCCTAACAGTAAATTCTATTCAGCACAAGAAAGTTTTACTGAAGATCTTTTTTATTGGTGACACCAATTTTTTTTATTTTTCAAACGCGAAACACTGTAATACGACTAAGGGGGGGGGGGCTCATAGAAAGAATGCTCCATACCACATTGACCTCGTTACACCAAACTACATCATTAAATGGTGCTGATGGTAGTACACTTTGTGATAATAATGACGTTTATTTTATATACTCTATGATCCAAAGGATAAAATCTATACAACATGTAATGAGTCATTCTAGCAAATGAATCTATTCTATAGTTTACCTCCGTAACTACGCCTGCTGCTACAGTTTCACCGCCCTTGCGCAACATGATACGACCCAATTGTTTGTTATCCTTGAATGTTTCCAACGGAATAGCTCGTTGAGACAGCTTGATTTGAACCTTGGCCGTCATTCCTTTTGTCAGGCATCGTGGGTTCCTCTTGACGACTTCTCCTGTTGACTTATCCAATACTTCCACCAATTTAATAAGAGAAGCTGGTTCATTCAAACTACCAAGATGAAGCACAACCTGGTATCCAAGTGTTAGAGGAACGCGCACATCAAACACTACAATTTGAGCCTCAAATGAGCTCGTAATGGGGACAGGATTTGATGGCGTACAGAGAACGCAGCCGTTGCTAAGATTTATCAGTACTTTGTTTATCCTTTGCTGCATCCATGTACATTACCTTAAATTTAGGATATCAAGATGAGTCAAGGTCATCATGACTGAATCTCCTGCAACAGCCCATGTTGTAGGCTCATCATCAACTTGTAATGCTAGGTATTACAATGTTTGAAAACATTCTTTAGCTTTTCTTCCTCTCCCCCAACAAAACTTACATTTAATATACCCAGTTTCGTTTCCTGGTACAACCATGACTTGTTCTCCGATCTGCACGGATCCAGCTTCAATTTGACCTGCAACAGATACGCCTCCGCTACTTCCAATGCCTCCCTTGAAAAAGTCAGTCACTCGCATTCTCAGTGGTTTGTCTAGTAATCGTGTAGGTGGTTCAAACCGATCGATCTCTTCCATCAATGTCGGCCCATGGTACCAACTTGTCAATTCAGGCAACTGGCTCTTCTTTACTAGATTTTAGCAAACGCGAAACACTGTGCTTGCCAAAGAAAGCAATAAGGGAGAAAGATATACATATGGTCATGTGATAAGGGCCGTTGATAGGCGTCTTGTATACATATAAATGTATACGGTTTATTTGTTTTCTTTTCCCTATTTTCATTTCTTTTTCTTTTCTCTCTCTCTTTCTTTATTTCTTCTACTTGACGGCTCGAAATGGGAAATATTTATAGTAACTCTAACGATGATTCTCAAGAAGGTAATTCTATAAACATAATATGTAGTACGTTTAGTGACAGTAAATAGTCAACATGTCACAGTTCAAAATAATAAAGACTATTGGACAAGGGGGGTTTTGTAAAGTCTATAAAGTACAGCATACACAACGAAAGAGACTGTATGCATTAAAAGTCATTAATAAAGAAAAATGCATAAAAATGGGCGCAGTGTTTAATGTGATTCGAGAAAGAAAAATATTAGAAAGCCTGGATCATCCGCTGATTTGTAACATGCGCTTTGCGTTTCAAGACACAAGTTCAATCTATATGGCAATGGATCTGATGTAAGCAAAAGCATAGTATTGATGTTTATATCATTCATTCTTTGTTTTGCATTAAAGGACAGCTGGAGATCTAAGATTTCATATTACACATAAACAACACGATGAACAAGTAATTCGATTTTGGATATCAGAACTGGTTTGTGCTGTCAAGTATTTGCATTCACAAGGAATAGTGCATAGGTAAACTAGATAAACATTAAAGTGAATCTTACATTAACTAGAAAAAAAAGGGATATCAAACCAGACAATATATTACTGGATAAAGAAGGACACATTCATCTAAGTGATTTTAATATTGCTTGCGAGATATCTTCAAGCAAACCCTTGATTTCTTTGTCTGGCACGGCTGCTTATTTTGGTAATCCGCGTTGTTTATTTGTTTGTGTCCATCCCTTACATTATTGTTATATTCAATAGCTCCAGAAATGCTCAAAGGGAATGGTTACGATGAAGATGTCGATTGGTGGAGTGTTGGTATTACATTTTACGAATGTGTTTATGGAAAGGTAAATTCATCACTTTCCTTTAGATTGCTTTAAATAACCCTTCTATATTAGCGACCATGGTCAAACTGTAATAATATTGAAGAACTAAAGAAACAGGTGGTATATGGTCCTATTCCATATCCTCCATCAAATGTCTCTTTGGATTGTCTATCAGCTCTTAAAAGCGTAAGAATGGCTCCACTGGCTTTATGTATATATTCTAATCTGTTTTATGTATATAGTTTTTGGAAAAAGACGCAAAGAAAAGGTTAGGACATGGCGTCAGTTCTGGATGGAGGTCGATCATGTCTCATCCATTTTTCAAACCTGTTGACTGGTACAACATTGATACTAAACAGAGTCTGCCTTTGTATATACCCGAAAATAAAGATGAAGAGACAGTTAATTCTGTCGTCACAAATACAGACCTACAACCACCAGATGGCGTTGCTGGTTGGCTCTACCGGTGCCAGAGAAGAGCGAGCTATGGACAGTTACAGCAAGATCGACGATACAGTCAAGACTTGAAATTGCTTGAGGAGAAATTTAAAACCTTTGACTATACCGTGTTTGATGAATATGAAGGATTTTTGGATGAAAAACTCATGACAGTCGGTCCACCTCCGCCCTGGGTCAAGCCTGCTTTCCCAGGCGCAGACAACGGAAGTCTTTTGCCTGTACACAAAATTTATCTAGAAAATCTACCGTCGGTATATGATGTATTTGCCAGCGAGCATCACAAAATAATGCATCATCCTACTTGGTCTGCTGTAGAACAGTGTTACAAGTAGACGCTTTTGTAAAATAAATCTGTAATATATCTTTAATGACATATAGAAGGCACTGTCGATCACTATCGACTTTTATCTCCTTGTTCTCTTTTCTCTCTCTTTCTCCCCCTTCACTCTCCTTGACTCTTATATAGTTTGATTATGCTTTGCACACCTATAAGGAGAATCTGTAACAGAAAAGAAACTAGGGAGAAAAAGGTGCTTTACGGTAAATGAAGTTTTCTACCTTTGGCTTTATATAAAAGAGCAGCTCCTTATTTTCTTTTCTTTTTGTATTTCATTTGAACATGAAGGTAAGTTCATGTTTGTATACTCTTTTTTTTTTTTTAAAAAAAAAGCTAACTATTCTGTAGTTATTTAGCGTGATCTTATTTTGTTGTCTGATAGCCATTGCTGTCACAGATACATCATATTTTGCTTATCCACCGCGAAACTCAGGGTATTGGGCTGGTACGCCTATCGAATTTGTAGCAACCGATGTATCCCATGATAGCGATGTTACTATTCGCGTTACTCTTCATTCTTCTAGAGATGGCAGGTAATTGTAAAATAAAAGCAGTATATACCTATCTTGACGTTGAATAGATTGGTACAAGTCTTGAATGATTTTCGAGGAAAAGAGATTGCTACCAGTGGAGAGAATTTCATGTTCACTTGGGTAGCCGATGCACCTGATGGAACATATTATGTAAAGGTGACAGAATTAGAAGAAGAGGACGAAGATGGTGAAAGTGAGGATGAAGATGATGATGAGAATCGAAGCTACGACTTTCGAATTACTACGTATCATCCTGCACCTTATGCACCCTATTAGAAATAAAAGGGCATCTTTATGCTTAATAAATATGTTATTAGAATTGTCATTCTTTCGATTGAGCACACGTCATTTGCATAGATGTCTTTTAATTTAAATGATCAGAAAGAGGGAGGGAATGTAATGCCACTGTAAGAGATACAATAGGATCAAGTAATAGTAAAACCTTAACTTTAACTTAGCATTGTTTTAATGTATTATCAACCGGGAAATATAATTAATATCATTTATGAAGGGTCGATTTGTAAGAGCTTATAGTCTTTCTGTGCTTAGCGCAATGCTCTCCATTTCTGCATACATTAGATGAAAGTATAAAGCAGAACGCCGTGGATATGAGACCTGAAATTAAATACCTAACGACAGTAGACAGGGACGAGCCTGGCAAACAGAATGACAGTAAACGAGCAAGGAGGAACAAGGATCATATCAACATTGTACTTTTAAACTCGGGAGAAATAGCTTATGTTTAGAGGAATGATAATATATTACTCTTCAACTAACCGGAAGAATGGTAGAGCCTAATAATTCTCAAGAACAGAGTCCAAAAGAAGGATGGAAGCTGCAAAATGTTTTTATTTAGATCAATAGACGTCATAAGAGATAGCTTTGATCTCAGTGCTCTTATTTCAGTAAGGAATCATAAGGTTGTCATAGGTAAATGAATGTGTCGACAAGAAAAGATACAGGCTTTGTTGAAGGAATCAAGTGCTCTTGATCGGTGTTCTACCATTTTTTTTTCTTTGGAAGAACCATGTGAAAATTTATTTGTAAGCGGTATTTTTCAATATAGAATTGATAATATGCAAAAAGGATAAAACTGGGGACTATTCAGTGCTATATTACTCTTCTTCTTTTTCATTTTATATTAAAATGCCTCCAAAGCATAAGCAAGCGAAAAGACGTCTAAAGCAACTTGGAGCAACGTTAGATCCTTCACGAGCTGGCTGGTCTGATTCTGAAGAAGAAGATCTAATTCATGAGGGTAACATATTTTAGACTTAGACAACTATATAAATAATAATAAAAAAATCACACAGTTGGTATTAAGTCAGTTCGCATTGGTGATGTTGTAATGGAAGTTTACCCTCCAACAAATCCTGAATTAGTCCCTGAATTACAAGGACCTTTCTATGAGGGAGCTCAGGTACTGCTTTCTATTTGGATTTATGCACATTTTTTTTTTTTTATAACTGACAAAAACAATCTATTAGGATATCTTGAGGCATTTGAGATGGATCATGCAAAAAGACAAGGTATTCAAAGCCAATGGTAACAACTGAATAGTGGAATTGACCCTATCTTTTTATTAGCTTGGACAAGATATCTTTTTGTTAGGCCCACCAGGGCCATTACGACGCAATCTTGTCATTAAATATGCAGAAATGACACAAAGAGAGTAAATGAGAATAGGTTGTTCTTAGATTGATTATTGATTGCTTATAGAATTGAATATGTGGCATTATCCAAAGACGTAACAGATGCAGATTTAAAGCAAAGAAGAGAACTTCAAAATAGTACATCATTTTATGTAGATCAAGCAGCGGTTAGGGCAGCAATTCATGGTAGAATCTTAGTCTTGGATGGCATTGAAAAAGCAGAGCGCAACGTCTTGCCTATTTTAAACAATTTACTAGAAAATAGAGAAATGGCATTAGATGATGGACGTTTCCTAACAACAAAAGATTTGGTAGATAATAAAAATACCAAATTTGAAAAGGTTAGCCCTCGATTTTTGGTATTTGCATTAGGTAACTATCAATAACGCTTGGGGAAAATTGTATTGATCTCTTTTAAAAGGGCTTCCTGTTCCTCCTTACGTCGGCTATCCTCTTGATCCACCACTCAGATCTCGATTTCAGAGCAGAGATATTAGAGCTCCCGAATTCAGTACACAGGTCAATCAGATGCTTAGGCTCATCAATAATAGTAAAGTGCCCAGAGAGCTCATTGAACGATTGGTATCAGTCAGTTTAGTCTTGGGAGTACAGAATAACGACAAGAACAGTGCTCGTGAAGTCGAAGTGCCAGAATTTCCAATGACAGTAGAGACCTTGGCTAGCTTATTATCTCTTATTCCTCAGCTCCATCCTAGATTTCTCTTAGATTTGTTATACCCTTATCCTCTGTTGCCTACGTGCGATTTGGAGCAACTAAGCGTGATAGAATCTGCTTATAGACGATTTAATATTAAATCTGCTATAGTTGAAGCACACATGGAAGCAAGACAGACACCCTCGGGTTTCACTGTTGTAAATGTTGAGCCAGCGCCCACAATGACGAGAATTTCTGTAGATGGTTATCATCATGTACACAAGGCCCTCGCTACCTTTGCTTCCTCAAACCATCCTGCCGTCGCCCTGCCCATTCATTGTGGCCCTTCTTCCTTCAGTCATGCCGAATTCTACATTGAAACACCTTATCATCGTGAAATCCTGTCTTCGATGGTTCTTGTCCACGCTGGCAATAGAGACATTTGCCTGCTAGGTACACAGAAAGGTGTTGGTAAATCAGCGCTTGTTAGACAATTTGCTCGTCGACTCGGTTATACAATTGATTACATTCCACTCTACCGTGATATGTCTTCACGAGACCTTCTACAGCGTCGATCTACTACAGAAAGAGGTGACACTATTTGGGAAAACTCTCTTCTTGTTGAAGCTGCCATTCACGGTCGCTTGGCAATCCTGGACGGTATTGAGGCTCTTTCTTATGGTACACTAAATACCTTACAACGACTTTGCAGCGATCGTGAGACTCAATTACCTGATGGCACGCGTCTTATTAATGCTCATAGATACGAAAAATTGATAAAGAAGCTATCTCTGGAAGAATTAGAAGCAAAGAAATTAATCCCAATTCATCCATCTTTCCGCATCATTGCTCTGGCTAAAGCGAGTGGACAAGGCGATGCAAAGGCTGGATCTTGGTTAAGTTCTGAAATTCTCTCCATGTTTCACTCTATCGTTGTTGATTCTCTTCCTTCTAATGAAGAACAAGAGGTACTGAGCGCCCTATCGCCTGGTGTAGATGAAGACAAGTTGAGGCAGCTCTTGACCTTTGCACGACGTCTTCGTCGCGATACGGACGACACTGTGCGCATGCTTTCTAGTGCCTTATCTACGCGTCAACTCATTCGTATCTGCCGCCGATTATCTTATTTTGAAAACGAAAGCTTGTATACCGCTATCAATAAAGCTGCACTGTCTCGGTTTATGCCTAGCGTTGCCCGTGAAGCCCTTCACAATCTCTTGACAGCTAATGGCATCTATCCTCCAAAGACAACTACTGAAGAACTCAAGATTGAAGTGTTGCCCACTAGGGAGACACCAGAGCAAATTCGTATTGGCAATGTCGTTGAACCTGTCTTCAAAGGTGGTGATCCAATGCTGATTCCCAATGTTGTATTTCACGAAAATCCTGCTCACACCGAGATTCTCCGTGAGATGCTTAAAGATTATCAATTGGGCGATCATCTTTTGCTCATCGGTAATCAAGGTGTTGGCAAGAATAAGCTGGCTGATTACTTTTTGCAATTACTACAGCTCCCCCGTGAATATATCCAACTTCACCGTGACAGTACGGTTCAGAGCTTGACTACAACGCCTGCTATTGCCAATGGTGTCTTAACCTATGAAGACTCTGCCCTTGTAAAAGCTGTTAGAGATGGTACCATCTTGGTGGTTGATGAAGCAGATAAGGCACCTACTTACGTTACTGCTGTTCTCAAGAGCTTAGTGGAAGATGGCCAAATGGTGTTGGGTGATGGTCGACGCATTATTTCCAAAGAAACGGATATTCAGGAAGATGATAATTATATCATGATCCATCCTAATTTCCGCATGCTCGTCCTTGCCAACCGACCAGGTTATCCATTCTTAGGAAATGACTTTTACCGTGAAATTGGTGATGTATTTAGCTGTCATGCTGTTGATAATCCCGATATGAACTCTGAAATGTTTTTACTAAAGAATTATGGACCCGATGTCTCTGAAGATTTGCTAATGAAGCTGTCAAGCGCCTTTACTGACTTGAGAAAGCTAACTGACGACGGTCTTATCTCTTACCCATATTCCACGCGTGAACTGGTCAACATTGTTCTTCATCTTCAAAACTATCCACAAGAAGGCATCTCAAAAATTCTTCAGAACGTGTTTGACTTTGACCAATACGATCAAACCTCCAAGGAGTTGGTCATTGAAGTCTTTGAAAAGCACGGTATCCCTATCGGACTTGAGTCTGACTTTTCCATGCGCTTGGGTGATGTGATTTCAATCGGTAAGCCTACGTTATGCGAACAGTGGACACGCGCGCCCTCTGCTGCTAAGCAAACAGCAGTCAAATTCGAGACAGAGCCTATAGCTATCCGAGGCGGCTGGGATATTAGCATTGACAAGAATTGGAAGGACCTTGAGCGTAAAGAAGGACGTTCAACTGTTTTCTCTGAAATGCTTTATACATTTGATATTCCTACGCGTGGAGAAGCTTTAGATATCGCTGCAATGGATGATGGCACTCTGTTTATTGTCACTACAAATCCCGTTACACTTCACCGTGTTAACCCTAATCACAAGAAGATCGACAGCTTAGATCTTTACGAGTACTTCCCACTTCAACGAGCACCACCCAGACTTCGCATTGCTGTCATTCGAAATGCTCAAAATGGCACTGTCAAGTACCTGGCCCTACATAACCCTTCTAATAATGAACTACTCTGCTGTGATTTTAACAAAAAGACCGTGGCCTCTGCTGTTATTCGCGGTTTAGACCCTGTAAAGTCCATCATGTGTACCAATCTATCTGCTTCTGGTATTCTGGTTTTCTATCAGCAAGATCGCGCCACGATTGCTATTCTCGACTTTAACACATCGAAACAGCATACAGTTGTCCTACCTTCTCGCATTGAGCAATTACACGTCATTGAACCATCATTCTGGATCGCCAAAGGTAGCCGAGATACCAATCTTTACGCCATTTATCCAGACAAGGGCGGTATCCCTAATGTGATAGAGCCAATTCAATCGCTTGGCCAAAATGGACATGCAGTTGATACATTAAGCCATATCTATGAACGTGAATTTTCTTCCGGTGCAAGAGTGGCACAGGCAGCGAATCCAAACAAGTATGCCTCTATACTCGAAGGTTGCTCTGCATCTCAGTTCCTGAAAAGTGACGGCGTTGTGCGCGTTTTAGCGTATTTTAAACAGCAACAGTTAACTGAAGCCAGGACAAATGTACACATCAAGGGGTCTACCTTGTATCTTGCTCATACTCAGCAGTTGGCCATTATTGAACCTCCTGCTGATGGTCGTGCTGAAAGTACGTTGGATCTTTTGAACCCTGCCTCAGGTCAAATTTGGCGCATCAAGTTCCCATTGTCCATCATTGGATCATCAGAAGGCGGGATCTATAGTCAATTCCAAGTAGAGAGACAAGCAGCGACCATGTGTGAATTGCCCAATGGAAACCTTGCGACGTTGGATAACGCTGGTACGGTTCGTATCTGGCAAGTCAATTCTAATGACATATACAAAGCTGCCCAGACTTGGAAACAAATGGTCGGTGTGGATCAACAAGCATTATCTGTTATTTATGAAACAAAAGACGACGTAAGATGATGATGAAAAAAAAAAAAAAAAAAGCGCATACAATAACGGTTGTCTTTTTTCGTTTTAGAATGTGAAATTAAACGAGCTTTTTGAAAAAATAGAAGCTGAACAGGGAGAAGATGGCGAATCAAATGGAAAAGGCAAGGGATCTGGCGGTGGTCAAGGTGAAGGTGGATCTGGAGGTGGTGGAAGTGGCGGTTCTGGAGGCTCTGGTGGAGATGGTTCTAGCGGCGGAGGTTCTGGTTCTGGTGTCAACATGAACGAAGATGGACGTCAAGAAGCCAGTTTTGAGGACTTGGAAAATCTCAAGCTGGTAAATATACGAACGACCGAGGCATTGTTTTAACAATGTAGCTAAACTTTTTATATATTTTATAGAGAACTGCAGATAGTGAACCTCAAGAAATTAGTGAAGCGCAACGGTATGCAGCCCCCAATAGCAACTAAAAGACATAATCACTAACCCTTTTGTGTGTAGTGAAAGGCATGAACAAGCCATGGAGAAGAGACTGGCTAAACTTGACATGACACAAGCCGACTTTCAAGTATGTGCTCTAGTCCCTTTTTTCCTCCCTTTTGTTAACTTTTTCCTTTGTAGCAATTCAATCAATATATGGATAACATCCGACGAGAAGTTCGTGAGCTTCGTGTAATTCTAGAAGGAGTTGAAGCTAAGCAGCATGAACGAGTATGGTTAAAGAATCAATCATCTGGGGACTTGGATGACAGAAAAATGTAAACAAAAAAAGTTAAATGCTGAAGAGTAGTTAATTAATGTTTGTACTCTAGTGTCGAAGGTCTTACAGGCGAAAGAGCAATCTATAAGAAGAGAGGAGAGGATGACCCTGAACTTGGATTATTCCAAGAAAAGCCTAAACGAATGAACTTTGTGTTTGACTTGTCTGCAAGCATGTATCGGTTCAATAGCCATGACCGCCGTTTAGAAAGATCTTTAGAAGTCGCTCTTATGCTCATGGAATCCTTTCGAGGATTTGAACACAAGTTTGCGTACAAAATTGTTGGTCACAGTGGGGATGGGGCAAATATTGAATTCGTTGTTCCAGGCAAATACCCCAAGACTGAAAAGGATGAATTTGAAGTTATTAGCAAGATGAAAGCACACTCACAGTACTGTCTGAGTGGTGACAATACATTAGGAGCAGCCTCACATTCGATGAAGGAAATAGTGGCTGAAGAGGCAGATGATTATTTTGTAGTTGTTTTATCTGATGCAAACATTGCTCAGTACAATATTCATCCTAACGACATTGCAAGGATTCTGAAATCGGATGACAGAGTTACAGCCCAGATGATCTTTATTGGTAGTCTTCAAGATCAAGCAGAGCAGCTCAAGAAAGCCTTGGGTAGTCATGCTCATATCTGTACCGAAAATAAGGAGTTGCCCAAGATTATCAAGTCTCTCTTTTTATCTTCAATGATCAAGGGTTAAATATATATCTATAGAGTAGACTTTTTATAATGCAACAATGATTAAAATAAATCAATTGGTATTTAATGTAAAGATTTTTGATATGTACACAATTTTATTTTGCTATTTAAATACCACCCATGTTGATGTACTTTATGTGAGTATAGTCGTCAATACCGTACTGTGAGCCTTCTCGACCAAGACCACTCTCTTTGACGCCACCAAATGGAGCGTAACAATTAGAAATAATACCAGTATTGACACCAACCATACCAGATTCTAAACGTTCAGCCACTCTCCAGCAACGTCCTACATCACGAGAGAAGAAGTAACTGGCTAATCCAAAGGATGTATCATTGGCCAAGGAAATCACTTCATCCTCACTATCAAATCCAAACAAGGCAGCAACAGGGCCAAATGTCTCCTCAGAATGAATTGTCATATGTTTCTTCATGTTGGCCAAGACTGTAGGCTCAAAAAAGCAGCCACCGAGATGCTTACCGCCCGTCAAGATATTAGCTCCCTTATTGACAGCATCTTCAACATGTGTCTTGACTTTTTCAATGCTTTTGTCGTTAATCAATGGACCATGAGTTGTCTCCGAGTGGAATCCGTGTCCAACTTTGAACTGACTCACTTTTTCAGCAAGACGGGTAGAAAATTCCTTGTAGATACCATTTTGTACGTAGATACGATTGGCAGATACGCATGTCTGTCCTGTACCTCTAAATTTGCATGCTATCACAGCTACAATTCAAATATTAGATCTCTCCCTCTCTCTCTTGTTGTCATTCTATTTAGTTTACCATCAATGGCTGCTTGAATATCAGCATCATCAAAGATGATGAATGCAGCATTTCCACCAAGTTCCATAGAGACCTTCTTCATTGTATTGGCTGATTGGGCCATCAAAAGTTTACCAACAGCAGTCTATGAACATCGTTAGACACGGGCGCCAGCATGTTTAACCAAACTTACAGAACCAGTAAAAGAGATCTTTCGGACGGTAGGGTTTGTACACAGCTCTTTTCCGACATCTGATACGTGCTTGTGTGTAGGAATCACATTGACTACACCAGCGGGGATACCCACACGTCGAGCAAGCTCACATAATGCCAAAGCTGAGTAAGGTGTCTCTGCCCCAGGCTTGATGACACATGTACAACCAGCAGCCAATGCAGCACCTACCTTACGTGTGATCATGGCAATCGGGAAATCTTTTTTTTTAAAAAATGTTATCTCACGTTGACGTCAAATGCTCATGTCACTTACTCCAAGGGGTGATTACGCCAACTACACCAACGGGTTGCTTGATTGTAATAAATCTTTGATGAGGGATATGTGAAGGAATGACGGTACCATAAGTACGGACAGCTTCTTCAGCAAACCATTCGAAAAAGGAAGCACCATAAGCAACCTCACCCTTTGCTTCTGTCAAGGTCTTGCCATTTTCCCATGTCAAGATAGTAGCAAGGTCCTCTTGATTGTCCATAATGGTTCTATACCAAGCTAACAAAAGGTCGTGTCGTTCTTTGCCTGTGGTTGTAGACCATGATTTAAAGGCCTCTGCTGCCACTTCAATAGCCTCACGGGTTTCTTTAGCGCCCATATCTGGTAGCTTTCCAATTTCTTTATCAGTAGCAGGATCTATATACATGTACATGATAGAGAGAATGAGCGATGCCTGTGAGTATCATCACGCTACTTTACTTACCCAATACAGAAAAGGTCTCGGATACATCTTTATTGGTCCATTCATTATTAATAAACGCAGTGTGTTTCAGTAGGCTTGGGTCCTTGAGCTAAAAGAAAGAGTGTTTAGTTATGACATATGCTGTATATAAAATAATTTACCTTTGGAACATCAACTGTAGTGACAATAGACCTCATAGCAGACATGTTGAACTTTTTAATAATAGGTTGACGACTAGGATTTAAACAAGCTTTAAGATACGTAGTCTGTACAGCAGCTCTAATCATTGAAAACAAGAAGAAGAAAAAAAAAAAAAAAAAAAGGGCTTGAAAACCTGAAGAAAGACTTATCAATCTGCATTTTATATCAAATTTATTTTGGTTCGTGTGAAGTGTCGGGCAGTCAAAGTTTTAGTCAAAATTTGTAACGCGCTTTATTTTTTCCCTTGCCTTTTTTTGATTGATTGATTGATACAGTCAAACCTGTGAAGTTTGGACAACATCGAATGAATGGCTACGGATCAAAGCTCCTCTCAGTGTATTATTGCAAATTAGCAATTGATTCAATTCTATGGATACCCATGATCCATCAAGAGTGTAGTCGTTGTATTTGTTAGTGCCTTGGCTGGCTGTCTAGAGGGAAACCACGACAATGTTCTAGTTATCTTACTTGTATCCTTACCCAGCCACGTCATTGAATATCGTCAGATACATTAGCAGCTGCTGCCTTCCATTCTTCATCTTGAATCCTCTGTCGTTTCTTCTCAATAAGCTTCCTATGAGCCCTCAAGTTTCCTCAAGATATGCTGACTTTTGGCAGTTTTATTGAACGATTATCTGCTCCATTCCCTCTGAAATAGAGCAGCCTCAATACCGCTGCTTTCTCTAGGAAGCCAACTCTCTGGGTGAACGTTTACTTATTGACTCAATGATATCAGTTAATCTTTAACCTTGTTCGTCTTTTAATTCCTTTACACTTTTTGTTACCCTTGATCCCCAAAAGGGGAGTTTTTTTTGTCTCCATTACAGTCCTTTTGATTTCGTCTGTGCGGCTTTTATTATTGCGCTCAATGGTTATACTGTATACTTGCTTTTATGAGCTGCATTGAATATAGAATTGAATAGATGTAAGGAATAAATGTGTCTATTGCAATGAAAAGACTGATTACTAGCTGATCACAGTGATCTCAGAGTCTATCATACCGTGATTTTTATGTGCGCATAGAAAATTAGTCAAACTGTTATAGTCAAGTGTATATACGCCTCGGTCCTTTGCCTTACAAAAAAAAAAAGGTTCAAATTTCCATTTTTAGCGGACAAACAAATGATCTTCATGCATATTTTATTTTACTATGCTATCAGACTTTGGTTATTATATTAATGTTCCTGAAGAATAGAGAAAGGATAAAGAAGGATAGATAAGTTCAAGGATTGTGAGCCATTTGTCTGAATTAAACTGTAAAATAGGACAATTAAAGCTGTAGACGATACGGAAAGGTGAGAACAAGAAAGGGAGGGAGGAGGGTCCTTTATGTTATGAGATGATTTAGTATAAATAGTAAGGATGTTTTGAATGATTTTTTGACTTTCTTTATCGTCTGCTATTCTTTTTTCTTATACAATGGATATAAACTTTGAACATTCATCCAATGTAACGCTTGAAGCTATGAACCCCTTTAATGTAACTTATGATGACTTGAACGAACCTACACAATCTTATCTTAGGCTATCGACTTTTACCATTGCTTACCTTGGGATGTGTTTAAGCTGTACCATTTGGCAAGTAATGACAGCTGCAGAAATGGTTTGGAGAAAACGAAAATGGCTTCACTATCTTCTCTTTTTTGAAACATTAGCATGCTTCGTTACTATCTTATGCAGTGCCTTAAATCCTTTTACACCAGTCGACTGTATTACTGTAAGTTGAAGAACCGCGTCCTTGTATTTACTATTCTGATTATTTATTTTTTCATGACAGAGGTTTTGGATAGCTATTATAGTAGTTAATCTGGAAGGATGTGCCATTCAAACCATTTTGCTGTACAAGGCTTACATTTGTTATGATCGCTCTATTCTATTGCTCATCCTGGGCTCGCTTATCAATCTTGGCTATATCGCGCTCATCTTTTTTTACGCTACTTATGGAAAAGTACCCACTTACAAGGACATTATTGGCAATTGCGTTGTAAGTTACATCTTATTGTTCATGTTTTCTTTATTAACTTTTTTTTTTTTTTTTTTTTTTTTTTTTTTTTTTTTTTTTTTTTTTTTTACTTTAGCTGAATAATCGTACGTACCAGCCTAATCCTGTAGAAAATCTAAACTGAGTTTTTTGCTAGTTGAATGGCCAGCTTTGGTCAAGTTATTCTTGGACATAGCAAGCAATGGCTTTCTATCTCTCGCATTCTTGGCTGTTATATTTGGTCATTACCGAAAGTTTGGTAACAGCTTGTATAAATCATTAATCTCAAATGGTATTCTTTATTCGTAAGTGTCAAAATACGACTCATTACATTTGAAGCTTATTCGTGTTAGAGTTGGTGTTATCGTGTCAAACATCATTATTGGAATCTTAATAGCTACCAGAACCGCCGGTGGGCTTTCAGCAGATCTATACTGCTTTGACTGTAAGCTTAAATGCTAAATCATAATACAGCTAATCATTTTTTTAATAAAGGGATATTCACTAGTTACTTGCTAATCAGACAATTCAAAATAAAGCCAGAGGATGAAGGAACAACTCAAATAACGATCACAGATAAGCAAGACTCGGAATCAATCATTAGTTCTAATTCAAGTGTTTTGGTTGAAAACGCTCAATCCTCCGTGATTACTAAATTCAACAGTGGTTGTGATAAATATCGCATTTCACAAGTGTTGAAGTTTGAGAAAAGTAAATATGAATCTGGATCTCGATAAAGCAGTCACGGCAAATTTCTTTTTTACTGCATTTTTTGTTTTTTTTTTTTTTTTTTTTTTTTTTTTTACTCACACATATATATTTAATAACCCTAATAAAAGTAAGTTTATCTAATGTCTCTTTTAAATTACCTTTTCTTATTCATTAATGACACTTAATTCTATTAGTGGAAGCTGAAAAACGACCAAGAGAAGAAGACTCTGCTTCAACAGAGACAACACAACAGCTTCCTGCCGAAAAAAAACATGAGGCAGACCAAAAGCCAAAACAGGAGCAACGTAAACCACAGTATGAGTTAAAGTACTCTCTGGTAGGTCATCGTATGTCTGTATCTAGTGTCAAATTCTCTCCTGACGGCAAATGGTTAGCTAGTTGCTGTAAGTACATATGCAAGTTTCATAGAGTTATCTTAAACAGGATCACATTTTAGCTGCTGACAAAACTATTAAAATCTGGCATGCATTGGATGGAAAGTATGAGGCTACTCTAGAAGGACATACACAGGGTATCTCTGATGTTGCCTGGTCTTCCGATTCTCAAAATTTATGTTCAGCTTCTGATGATAGAACAATCCGTATATGGAGTCTTGCTACCGTAAGTAAAAAAAAAAAAAAGAAAAGAAAAGAAAAGAAAAGAAATGAAACCCCTCGATTATGAATTAACGCATATACATACTTATTATAGCGTGACACTGTCAAAGTTTTAAGGGGACATACAAACTATGTGTTTTGTGTCAATTACAATCCTCAATCTAACCTCATCGTTTCGGGCTCATTTGATGAAAGTATCAAGATTTGGGATGTTAAAAAAGGAAAATGTATGAAGACATTACCAGCCCATTCAGATCCTGTATCTGCAGTACACTTTAATAGAGACGGTACCATGATCGTCAGTTGCAGTCATGACGGTTTGATGTAAGTATGTTTGATAGTTTATTGCCAGAGTATTTATCATTATCTAGTCGTATCTGGGATACAGCGAGTGGTCAATGCTTAAAGACATTAGTAGATGATGATAATCCACCTGTGTAAGTTTGAACTATTTAAAGAAATCGACATGCAAAACAAAGAAGAAACTAAACAAAGGACAGATCTTTTGTTAAATTTTCACCCAATGGCAAATATATCCTTGCATCCACTTTAGATAGTACTTTGCGATTATGGAATTATCATACTGGGAAATGCTTAAAGACTTATCGAGGACATGAAAATACTAAATATTGTATATTTGCCAGTTTTAGTGTGACAGGCGGAAAGTGGATTGTGAGTGGAAGTGAAGATCACAATATATATATTTGGAATTTGCAAACAAAGGAAATTGTACAAAAACTCGAAGGACACTCGGATGTCGTACTTGGTATCGCATGCCATCCCACCATGAACATTATTGCCTCTGGCTCTATTGACCAGGACAAGTCAGTCAAGCTTTGGTTTGATAAGTCACAACCTACTGCATAAAGAGAAGAAGCCCCTTTTTATTTATTTTATATACAGAGTTCAGAAAAGAGGGGGTATATATATAATATCAACAAATAAAAACAAACAAAATTACTTCCTGTTGCTATTTGTTGGAGACCACCATTTGGAAAGAAAGCCGGTTCTTGTATTCTTTCGATCTATATATACATGATCATCCACGTCAACACTCTTGCGTGATAATCCTTCCATACTTCTTTTGGCTAACTGTGACAATCCATCGAGACTAGGTCTAAAATCAAGACTGGTCCTATGGTTACCTTCATCCATTGATTTACGCACACTATTGTCACTGCCACTCCACCAACTTTTTTTCCTAGGTGGTGTAATCTCAGGCCTTTGTTCCTCGTAAAATGACGGACGAGGTTCAGCCTCATCCGCATCTTCATCCTGTACATTGTTTGCTGCCATTGCATTCTTTAAGGCAGTTGTACGTAAACCATCAGAACTGCATCGTATCAGTGAAGGCACATTATCAAGACTGGGTCTGACGGTATCTAGTGAACTTCGGTTGCCCTCACCGTTGATTCCATAAGTTCGTCTCTCTAGTGACTGAAGGTAATTTTCGTCGTCATAGTGATTGACAACACCGTAACTGTACCAATCTCCTGCACGCTGCAGTTCCTCTGCTGTCGGTCTACTTGTGTTGATGCTGTGTCTTGGTGGTGGTAAAGTTGAGATGTCTGGTATATCCAATTTTTGCGATTCAAAAACAGAAGGCAAACTAGGTCTACGTAGCCTTTCTGCTCTTGACATGTATGCATTATCTATTGAATGACGTCCGGGTAATTCTGGTTTTCTATTATTGATCTTGTTGTTTGCCTCTTGTATCCCTTGCATCATGGCCTGCATGGCTCCAAAAGTTTCTAGTAATTTGACTATTTCCACGTGATTCTTGGCTGCTGCAACATCTATTGGTCTTGACCCATATTTGTCCTTTACATCAATTTTGGCACCGTTTCTTAGAAGCAAATCTACGATTTTCGTACAACCATTAGCACAAGCGACATGTAAAGCGGTTGAACCTGTAGCTCCAGCTACTGCTTGAGACTTATCAGCGCTGTGTTTCTTTGACCACCTAAGTATAAAGGTTAAATGTTTGCTGTGCGCTTTTTTTAGTTGTTTTTCATTACTTTTGTGCGTTGACATCAGCTCCTCTATCGATTAAATATTGGACAACAGCGACATGGTTATCACTGATACAAGCTAATTGGAGTGGCATATATCCATTCACAACGGAGTCAATAGGTGCTCCATGGTCAAGAGCAAACTTTACTAAGCCTGTGAATAGTATTTATAATCCAAAAAAGGGTCTCAGGTTGAGTAAAGTATGATAAAGTGGGTAATTCTATTGACATTTACCAACATTGCCATTCATGCAAGCACCATGTAAGCCTAATGAATAGTCCTTTTTATCTTTCTTTCCTTCATACATTTTATAAAAATTATAGAATACAAGAAGAAAAAAAAAGGGAGAAACAAAAATACAAAAATACATAAATATCATTCAAAAGGGGGGCTGAGCGGAGAGAAATAGCCAAGACGAGGTGAAATTGACCGAATAGGAAAATAGGAAATCATTTCTTAGACTCTATTATTCTTTTTTGTTTTTGTCTCTTTGTATGATTTTCATTACACTTTAAGCATTTGTTTATTAAGCATCACTTTTTTTTAAAAAAAAAAAACTTCATTTTAAATGGTTACACCACAAGATTAAAGGTATTAAAAAAGTCCGCCAAGGACATTACTGATAGTGCCAGAGACTCCACCACTTTCTTGCTTCTTTCCACCTCCACCTCCACCAAGACTCTGCAAGACACCCATGACAGCGCCTAGGTTACCACCTCCGCTACCACTGCTGCCCTTTTGTTGTGTCATTAAGAGTTGCATAGCAACCATAGCAGCAGTCTGGAGCATTTCAGCTTGGTTAGCTCCTCCTCCACCTTGACCTTGAGACTTGAAGAGCTTTTGAGCTTCACCCATAGCCATAGCGATCAACTCGCCACTTCCTCCACCGCCACTGCCACCGCCAGAGAACATCTTGAAGGCTTGCATAGCAGCGGCTGAGCCAAGGTCACGAGAAGAGTGCTCCTGGGCAGGTTGACCGTTATTTTCGTTATAAATTTGGTTATGAGCATTAGCAGCGTGATTTGCTGTGTCCTCGTCGAGTTCCTTTTTGGCATCATCGCGTCCAATCACGTTGTGAAGAGCTTGAGAAAAGACACCGTTTTCATCATCATCATCATCTGTGGGCCGAGAAGAAATGCGTTATTAAGATGAATAGAGCATACTTGTAATATTTTACCATCATCATATTGAGCGTGTTGCTTTGCCAAGCGAGAGACTTGGGAGACATCGGGCTTAGGATAGAAATCTTGGCCTCCTGATCACGGATAATGGTTACAATCTCTTTCACGTATATACTCTACATGAACAACTTACCTTGATAAGAATCAGCTTCACCGTATGCCATCTTTTTGTATGAAAATAGATTGAAGAGAAAAAGAAAAAGAAAAAAAAGGGCTAAAATAAGGTTTTTTACGCACTATTTTTCTATTTGGTTAAAGTGTTTCACAACTCTTATACCTTTCCAGTTCATGTCTCCGAACCATCTAGTCTTCAGCTGGCTGAGAATCAATGCTCAAGACACTTCCCACTAGGTGCTGCTTAATAGGATGAATTACACAAACATTTCATAATGGCATTTATTTATCATAGAGCATTTAAACATTTTAAAAAAAGACTCCTTGGGCTAACATAGTGTCCCCAACTCTATACAAGAAAATATCCATCTAACGAGCAATTTGGTATTTTACATTCACTTTTATAAGCTTCAAAAAGATAGTTGCTACTGAACGCGGTGATAACATTTGGCAAAAAAAAAAAAACAAGTCTCTTGTAATACAAATAAAGCATGCATATATAAATTCAAGAAAGATGGATAGTGTTTTCATATCAAATTGTTGCAAAGCTGACCTACTATGAATCACTCTGCAGATTATACTTTCAATGGTTTTACAAACTACAACTATTCTTTATAAGGGAAAAATGAAAGTTGCATAAACACCAGTCAAGCTTATAAAGGAATTTTTTTTATTATACTTTCATTTCACACAATGATTAAGAGCGTCTTGACATATATTACGCTTATTCATGTTACTTTTATTTCTTTTTCTACCAAAACGAGCTGATCTTGGAAATTTAAATACACAAACTTGATACTTTCACCCAGCCCCTGGTAGCTACTGTGACGAAAATGGTAACTTGGTCATACAAGAAACTTTCTGACAAGCTACCTTTAGTCGACATAACAAAAAAGTGACAGCTCGAGTTCACAAAAGCAGCCTGAAATAAGATGGTGCAGGCGTTATCTGTGGGTGATACGGATGCTACAGAACCATGCACACCTAGTATGAAATGACACATTGTTCAAAGGAGATGCGACGAAGCCCAAGGGAGACGCATCGGTATGTCGACGACAAAGATTTAACAAAGTGGCTAAGGATTGGGGTTTTTTGTTGATTAAGCCAGGACAAATCAATGAGCCAAATTTTGGCGGAGGAAGAGTATCAAGAAAGATAAAATCGCCACTTTAGCCTCTATCATTAAACATGGTCGCTTAAGATATTCGAATTCGCCCCAATCCCACCGACACACAGCTGCCCATATTAGATTGAAATACCTGACCAAGCTGCTGTGAAAGGCAACCTTATCTTGGATTGGTTGACGTCGCAGGGAGCCAGAGCTGTGATTAAGATACCCAAATTTGGTTTGAATGCTTTTTTTTTGTGTTTTATCCCTTTTTTTCTATATAGTAATTTATACATGTCTCTTATATATGGTCTAGTTGCTAGAGGCTCAGTCATACTTTCTGAGCACATGAACAGCAGTGGAAACTTTGCTACTGGTTAGAAATAAGTATAAACCAGTCTTTTTGATTAACTCATACTCTTAAATTTAGTCACTCAAGCTATTCTTGAAAAGATTCCACCCAACAACTCAAAGCTTACTTATGTCTATGACAGGTAATCTTATATATAAAGCACGATAGGGCGACTGTCTTATATAGATAATAGATACTTGTTTCATTATATTTGTGAAGACGGCATTACTTACATGTGTATGGCAGACGATTCCTTTGGCCGTCGTATTCCTTTTATATTCCTGCAAGACTTGAAGGAAAAGTTTTTATCAACCTATGGTAAGAATAGGGCGCTTGAGGCTCCTCCTTATGGTTTAAATGAGTTTTCTCGTGTTATCGAAAAGCAAATGGTAAAAAAAAAAGTTTGAAGAGAGGGAGGTGTCATACGTGTATACTCATTAACCTCAGGAATACTATTCAAGTAACCCAAGTGCAGATCGATTGAAGCAAGTTCATGGAGAAATTGAACAAGTAAAAGATGTCATGGTTCATAATATTGAAAGAGTATTGGAAAGAGGTGAGCGTATTGAGTTATTGGTCGACAAGACAGATAATTTGAATCAGCAAGCATTTGCTTTCAAGAAAAGAAGCACTCAGCTCAAGGTATACATAAAAAGAAACTTTGTGACCATTGACGTAAACACTATATTTAGCGTGCAATGTGGTGGAAGAATACAAAGATTGTCATGTTGATTATTGTTGTCTGCTTTGTAAGTACAAGAAACGCTTATAGAATGCTTGTCACTCATTGATTTATAACAGCTGATTGCTTACTTCACTGCAACATCCATTTGCGGATTCCCGAGTAAGGAATTGTTATTAAATGATAAATACAATATTCAATCTCTCTTTTTTTTAGCCTTTCAATCGTGCAGAGCTTCTCCATCAACTCCTCCTCCTCCTTCTGCTTAATATAAATTCATGAAATAAACTTTAAATATCCTTTAATTCTTTCAAATTCTAAATTACAAAAAGAGTGGGTGTACATATGTATATAGTTGTGTGTGTGGGTAGGTGGGGTGGATGTATTATAATATTTATATATATATAGTCTATCATTATGAAGGTGGAGGGGTTCTTGATTGTGCTTCCTTTGCTGCCGCTTCCGCTGCTTCTTCAGTTGCTTTTGCCTTCAATTCTTGTGCTTTTTCTAGTTCAAATCTCTCTTTTGCTCGAACTACCTTGGATTGAAGATAAAACGAACCTCCCTTTGTTGGATCATTGACATTGAACAAATGTTCATAATTCTAGTATTCATCATTAGTCCAAGCTTCTTTTTTTCTTTCTCTTATTTTCTTCTTGTGTCATTACCTTTGTAAGCTTCGAAATATCAGCTTCTTTTGTCACATTTAAAATTTGACATGCTTCTTCCATTGACATACCCGTTTTACGAGTTAAAGCATCAAGAACTGCTTCCTTTGTGCCTGTTCTTGCACCACCTGCTGCACCAGCACCATGTTTAGCATCTAAAGTGTGTGTTAATAAAAGAATATGTATATATTCATAATACTTTACTCGCAGCAGCTTGTTTGTATGCAGCAATAAATGCTCTTGTTACTACGGATCCTAATGAAACAACAATTTGTGCAATAATACGAGCAGACTATTATGAACCATGAGAAAGAGAGCTAGTTGACTCATTTTATTCAGTCTTACCATTCTTTATAAATATGTCAAGAGAGGAAGAAAAAAACAAAGGAAAATTTTAGTGGCAAGGCCCGCCTTGCTTTAAATTTTTTAATAGGGAAAAAGTCACTTCCTGTAGGTTTGTGTTTTTTTTTTTTTTTTTTTTTTTCCTTGAATAAGCGTTGCATGAGAGAAAAGGGAGGATGTAATATTTGTTGAATATAAAGTATGAAGTCGTAAAGGTCAATGGATCAAAAGAGTAATGTGTTTACTAGGTAAATGTCCTATTGGCTTATATATGGTTACTGATGCGTAAGAGCTTTACTTTTCTACACATTGTGGGGTTTTTCATTTAATGCCAAAGTGTTACTCTTGCAGTTATACCTCAGTGAGGCTTCTAGACCATTTATATAAGTAAGCCTCTAAACTGATAAATGTTATGTATACGATGTATCTAGTGTGTAAATACCACAGAGGGATCAATGAAATAGATAAAATAGATATTTCCTCTTGTCTAGTGAGAAAGCTGAGGCTCAAAAGTAGAGAGCAAAGGTGAAGAAATTCACTCAAGAGTCCAAAGTACATACAATCCTAAAGAATATCAAGCTTTTAAAAGAAGCAGACCTTGTCCTTTTCACACTTTAAGCAAAAAATTGCCCAAGATTAGTATGTTGAAATGAGCAAGAGTAGTAGTCATAGACACTTGTTACAGTTGATGTACAGAGGGGAGGAGAAAGAAAAGAAGCTTGCCCAAGAGAATTGATCCTGGCTGGTATTATAGGAATCAAGGACATAATTAAAAGAAATACGTCAATTCAAGAAATAATCGATTAATGAATAAGATTGGTTTAATAGCACTTCTAATCAACGTTGATCTCTGTAGAATGGATCTCTCCCTCTCCTCTTCTCTCTAAATGAAATTTACAAGTCAAAAGTTCGATGTACCATGATTACAATTTATTTTTAAAGCAGCCCTTCTGATTTCAAGTCAAGGACAAAACCGGACAAAGATTGATTCACAGTGGACAAATAATCTGTGATAGATATAATTGATGAATGGTTGGCTATAGTTCCGTGAATGGCCATATCAAAATCTATTTTGTCTATCCTCTCATAAAAGTCTCCGCCAAGAGGTAGCTGCAAAATCTTTTGCCTTAATTGATTTTGAAATACTGATTGATTGCCTTGGAATCGATTTACTCTTTGTAATTGTTTATCCCATTGGACGTCGATCTGTATGAGCCTCTTTAGATAGTTTGTATAAGTCAGAACAGTGTCTGATTTAAACAAGTAGTCATAATAGTCTTGCATAATTCTAAACCACTGGTCTCTAAATTCATCTACTTGTAGCAATTGACTCACGAGTGGTCTACGAGCAATATTGTTCAATAGACCAAACTGATCTATTCTTTTAAATGAATTATCTGCATCCTTTTGTTCATTTGCAGGAACCAGAGTGTTTCCAAAGGTTTGATCTAAATCAGAAGGCAGCCATATAAACCTCCCATTCTGTCCAGGATCTTGGTATAGCAAATAATTATGTGCCGCGCCCAAGTAGCCATCATTGTGCCCTAATATTATTTCAAGAGCAAGGCTATACACAAATAAGTATTAATTCCTCTCTTATGATAAACTCACTTTTTCAGAAAAGTAGGTACATCCAGTCTCTTGTTCCATTCGACTGCAAGTTCTTCTTTTGTGCCCGCAAACATCTTGGTGCTTTCAATAAATTGAATAAACGAAACAAGAGGCGCCATCGTATGATCTTTTGACACCGACTTGGAGGGGTATTCCTGAATCTTATACACTGACTGATTTACCCGTGGCTCGATGTAATCTTTTACAGTAGGACCTAAATAACCTAGGTTGGCGCCTAAACGAAGCCTACCAACAGCCATAGGATTTTCTTGCATACTTCCTTGGAACAAGGTTCCTCGCTTATAGCCTGGCTGATCATTTCCAAACACTCTCTTGCTAAATGGTTTCTTGTATTTGTCTACTAGCATATAAAGTCCCTGTGGCTCTTGGTTTATGAATAGTCTACAAAAAGAAAGAAATTAGTTTTACATAAATAATAACAACAATGGTTGCTTTACCGAACATAAGAAGCTCTTGCTGTTGGCACCTGAGACGCAGACAGGATATCATAGTATAGCTTTTCACGAATGTAACTTGGATCAGTAGCACATGAACGAAGCTTAAATTTCTTGTATCCGCCCAGAGTCCTTTTGTTGGAATCTCTAATAGCAAAGCCATAAGAAAGTTTGTTGAACAACCTTGATGTTTGGCCGCTTAAGGAAAACTTTATTTTGTCGAAAAAATCAATATTATCGACGCTATCAAACATACATAAGCTTAACTCTACCTTGGTCTTTTCTTTTTACCTAATATGCGAAAGATTGGCAGTGATCGATACATCTTCTAGAACGTCATCATGCAACTTCTGTAACTCGTCTGTGTCTGCCTGGACATGCAGAGTAGGTATTTCATTGATCGGATGAACTTGATCTGGATTCCCAGGGTGATTATAAACATTAGTTGACGTTTCTGTAAACTGGATAAGGGGTAATCGTTGCTGACGACCAGTCTGAACAATAGGCTGACGACCGTAAAAATCAAACATCGGCAAATAATCAACCGTTCTAGAAAAGGGCTCTCGTTCTATCTCCATGCCTTTTTCGTCCAATATGACGTATTGATACTGCAAAGTATCAGGACTTGATACCTGGCCTGCATGTATTAACGGATCCTGAGTATTTTTGTTGTCAAGAGGGTATAGTTTGTTATTGATGCTCACTGCCATTCCATTTTGATCAAACTGATGATCTAAAGCATGAATGACGTGAAATTCCAGGGTGCCGTTTGTAGGTAGAGCAGTGACTAAGGAGCAGTAAGCTGCTAGTAGGATAACTAGATACAAAAGTATATCCATGATATAAAGTAAAAGTATAAAAACTGTTTAACTGATGAATAAAGCGAGAGAATGGAATGCGTAGCAGTAAGCCATTTTATTGCATATAGTTGTAAATCTAACAAGTCTAGGGGGAATTTCTACATATTATTATTACATGATTAGTGCATATGATCATAATTATCATGATGGCTACGAATTGTTGTAATTGGTATATCAGAAGAGATTGAAGGATTATAAGCTGTCGCAGGAGACCTTAAGCGAGAGCTTTTCTGCTGACTACTGCCGCTTTTCTTTTGTCCATTAGAGTAACTGTTCATAATCATACCACAATGTTCACAGAATGATTTATCAGAGAGATAGGTGTGATCAATTCGAAGTGCTTCGACCAACAGTGTTGATTCAATCACTTGGAAATAAACGGTGAATGTCTAAATATATATCATTAGATTTATCGTCAATTCCTCCTTTATCAAAACTTACGTCAGAGCGGTTACCAAGAAATTCTGTGACTTTGAGGATGTTCATCACCAAGTTGACAATAAATGTAAGTGTTAAGCAGACAAGTGATTTACGAGCAATATATTCAATCACTTTGTTTCTATGACTGATCACAGTCTGTGCTCGTCTGATGTGGACATAAAGTCTAATTTATAAAGTAAGTAAATGTGTATTAGCCATGCCTCCATGTTTACCTTCTGACAAACATGCCACTTAAAAATAAATTGGCCAATGCATCCGAGACAAAGTTGAGAATGAGGACACCTTGACCCCTTTAAATTGTTTTGTATAAATTTTTTTTCTTCTCTTTCTTTCATTTAAAGAACTTACCATGCAGCAAGACAATTAGCACCTGATTCAACCTGTTGAACCATAAGCTCTCGTTGAAGAGAGTAAAATGCCAATTCATAGGGCCAGTCTGCAAATCGGAGAGCAATCAAGAAAAAGCCAACCCACTTGATCCAGATCGAGTCCTTTTCTGCTTCGAGAATAAGTAATCGCTTAAACATGGTCAAGTAAACAAGAACATAATCTATGTAGCTCATTATTAGATAGGATGTAATTAAGAACTTTTAAAACTTGTACCTAAATGCCATAGCCTGTATTTAAAAAGAAAGAGATGAATACAAATATATACACAAAGCAAGCTTTTGCTTACGATACAAGGAGTGGCCAAAATGCACAAGTTGTGATTTCAAACACAGGCACAAGCCCATAAATAAATCGATGAATAAAGAGTACGACAACCTGAGCTATATTGATCAAATGACTATATATACAAAAAAAGTTATTATTATTTTTTAAGGGTCCAATAGCTGAGTCTTACATAAACCCTTTTGTGCGTCTATATTGTCTATAAGCTACTGAGAAGTTTCGAACAGAAACAACGACAGCTATCCACATCCCGACCATGCTTATACGATCCAAGATACGGATCGCAAATTGTGACAATTGAATCATTCTTGATTGTGCTGCTAGTTTAGTGCTATATTGTCAGGTAATCCAAGATATTATTGCTACTTTCTCTCTCTCTTAATTGATTGACTCTTTTTAAAAGATAGGATGAATGCTTAGCAGCTAATTAATTAAAAAAAGGAAAGAAAAAAAAAAGGTCCAAAAAAGGTCCCATTTGTTGCGTGGGTTTGAAGTCAGCAGTGGAATGAAGTGGAGAGACAATCACTTTTCCCGAATTATAATTAACTGGGACCGTTCCCAACCTTTCCCGATCCTTTCAACACTTTTTACAATAAACTCACGAAATCATGTTTATTAAACCTTTACCGCTCTTCACTTTATGCTTGCTCTTGATTAAATGAATACGATAAGGATCATCCATTGTATACACACTTGACGTTACGGCTTTAGGAACACAGTGCTTGTCAGTTCCGTTGGCTCTCCATGGTTACGACAATAGATAGCCCTCTTGTGGCACCTCGCGGGAATATCTGAAGTGATCTTCTCTGTAAAAAGAATGAAGGTCATTAAAAATGGTGTCATAAAGACTTAATTTTTTATTTTACTTCATCTCTATTTACTCTGCCATCTTTTTATAGGTACTGTTTGACACAGTAGCTTTTAGTCTGTGTTATATTTTCGGAATAGAAAGAGATTTATTCTCCCTCCCTCCTCCACTCGTGAGTCTGTTACATATTTCAGCGCAAGTGCCAACGATGATAACGTGGCTATTTCTATAAAAAATCATGTTATTTTTTTGTGTGTGCAATGATAGACCATGAAGCAACATCTTGTATATTTTATGAATTTTACCACGCAATTTGTATATTTAAACAGTGATAGTCCAGTGCTCGGGATATACTTACAGTTATTTAAAATTAGTGACAGTGCAACCTTTAAAAAGGCAAAATTTTCGCGTGGATGTATAATCTGTGACCACGAACAAAAATTTCACTGTATACTTCTCTTTAACCTCATGGGACAACATGAACTATTATACGCACATGATTTCAAAAAGGATTCATTTAAAATGATAGAGCTTGCTACTCCTGAACTTGTGGAAGTGTTTGAATCAGGAAACAGGTAAATATAGATTAGAACTATGGATTTATTAAATAAAACAAGTTAGCGTGGTCATAAAAGGACTGGAAGAAGACGATGCTGTTTTGTGTACAGAATCAAAGACATTTGCAGTTCGACAGATAAATACTTCCAATTCACTTCTTCTCGTCAATCAAGCAAATGACGAACTGTTTGTAAAAGACAACCTCTCCAATACAATAGAACTACAACCTTGTCTTGCCAAATTAGGCAGAATTGACGAGTTGCTAAGCAAGATCTGTTATGAAGGAGAAACTAAAGAAGCAGAAATTGTGAGATCAGGGCCACTGTATACCCTGGAAGATCTAGCATCCATTGTTCAAGCCAGCCCTGTGGAACTAAGGCGAGGATTAGAGGAAAGAGGGGTCTTTGAGTATAATGGCTACTGTCGAATATTTGAAAAGACATGGTTATCTCATTTGTTTGATGCACTTTTAACTAATGCGATATTTCACGGCCTGGATTTAAATCAGATGACAATGGAACAAGCCAAACAATGTATTTTGGAAGAAAAAGAGGCAATTGATGAAGACGTGAATATCCCTGATGAAATTATAAAGGCTGCATTGAATCTATTTGCCAACGAGATTGATGGTAGATTAAAGTTTGATGATGCCAAAGTGTGTCGTTTCCTGGGAGAATGGTTGCTATGTAACCCAAGAGTAAGATTGAAAAAAAAAAAAGGATGTAGAAAAGAGAACTCAAGAGCATGTTAGGATAAAAGATGGCTATTAGATGAGTTTTTACTAATGTGGAAAACATTGGGTCATAACCTCTTTGAACCAAAACTGGAGTACCTTTATGGATTGTTCATCATGTATGAAAATGTAAAGATGCAGCAAATAGAACGATATATTCAATACTTTCCAATTTCAGAATTGTCAACTGACCCAGCTAAAAGATTCTCTGCATTATTTGCAGCTAAGCCGCTATGGACCACAGAAGATATTGAACCATTCTTAAATGATTTGGCTCCAACTAAAAAGGAAAGGGAAGCTTTATTACTTAAATATACTAGAACACATCGTACAAAAGACACTGTGTTATATGCGAGTAGAATAAAATAAATAAAACGAATGGGGGAGCATACAGAAAGGGAATGATTAATGGGCATAATGCTTGAAATATCTTGCAGCGATCATAGGTACATCTTGATACTCTTTTCGGTATTCCCAAGTTATATCATATCTAGCCATTTTAGAACACACCTGTTCTAAAGTAACGAGCCAGTTATCCTTTTGATATGTGATTCGATGCCAATCCTCATTAGGCAATAAGGGTAATTTGAAGTTCTTGAGGACACTAGCCATTTCAAGGATAAGGATTCTGCCAAATTTATCATGAGTGAAAATTTGCTGACGAACTTCACTAGGAGCACCTAATGCCTCTTGAGCGACTAAGATCAAGCCAAACAAGATCGCATGAGACGGTCCGTGCACCGAAAGATCCTGGGCGAACTGACGAAGTAAGAGATGAAGCGAGGTAGCCACTTCGGATGCTCTACTGAACTGATCACTGACCCTATAGTGATCCAGGGAATGTGCAATCACGGCTGCTCTTTTAGTCAACGACTTCAACTGAGTGGCCCAACCATCATGGTCCAGTACCTCCTTCTTCCCAAAATAGTAGCTATGGATGATATCCGCAATTTGAGGATAATCAGAGATAGCCGAGGACAATATTTGACAAAGGGTTGCGTTTGAAAGCTGGTTTAACCAATTTTGAACGACATTTTCATTGAGTAAATTTCTCTTGACCAACGACTTCTTTTCTTCATCAATGATATCTTCGTGCTTTACAATAAGAGTAGATGCTGATAAAAAGTTACAGCTTGTTTCGTTGTTATTGGTATTTGTTACTATATCGATGGTATTGTTAACAGTCGTAGTTCCAAACCCAATAAGAGATAAAATATAAGATAGAATATTGATATTTGCCATGAACTATTGATAATATAATGCTTTTTTTTTGGTAACTTTTCTCTTTTTTTCTATTTTTTTTGTTTTTTGTTTTGCTTGATATTGATTTTTTATAATATAAAAAGTATGTATTTTATATGAATATATTTATACTGTTTTTCTTATTTAATTATTGCTCTTGTTGTTGTTGTTAGTTTGAATGTGTAAACATGAAATAAATCAAAAACCCTAATAATTGAATCCGTAGAAAAGCAAATAGACATAATGTTATTGTTTCTAACGGTTATCTTGTTGTTATTGTCTTTTTTGATTGATAAAAAAAACTGTTTAGGCTTCTTCTTCCTTTTGTTTGCTTCCTATTATCTTGTATTGAATCCTTTGTTTAAAGAAGAAAGAAAAAAGAAGATCGACTAAAGACGATGAATAATGGTGATTGCTGGTTATTTAATTAATTAAAGAAGAGAGAGAAAAGTAAAGAAAAAAAGAGAAAAAAAAAAGAGGGAAATGTCCTGTGGCGTGCTTTATATCATAAAATGTGCTTGTGATCAAATTCATTCATGTCCTCATAGGGACACACCTCTATTTCTCCCCTTTATAAACATTTTCCGAGATCATCCGAATTTAGTGCTAGTTTATTGTCTTTTTTAACTCTGTTACTCAATACAAATTGTCTGTATTCCTTCAACTATATTTCATTCTTTAGCTCTCTCTTGAAATTCATGCAATTGTTGATTAACTATATATAAATTCGATTTCCGCCTTTTCTTGGATGCATTATGCAAAACAGTTCTTGACTATTACCGCTTACATCCCCTTTCTCCCCCTTTTATGTGCGTTTGTCTAGACTGATCTTTCAGTCTTTTTACTCCCTTGGTAATAGATTATACATGTATATTTTTCGCTTTGTAATTGATTACACTATCGGTTAAAAATTTATCTGAATGCTCTTTTGCAGTGTATTCCCAGCTATATTTTTGAATAAACCCACTCCTGAATATCCCTCCGACAGTTTTTTCATCTTCTGCAAGCTAATATTTTGCATAAAGAGAATTGGTGTAATTTGAGGGTGAAAGATTCAAAGAATATACCCTGCTCATTTACTGTTGTCTTAAATAACAACTTGTTATTCTCTTGTTGAACTATGACTCTATTTAGTTCCTACATACTGTTCACATGACAAGGGCAACGACATGTGTCATACATGTTATCATCAATATATACTTTTTGTTCTTGACTTCTACCATAAATCGTAGTAACAAACGTTGTTTCATTCCCTGTTGCTTAGTATACAACGATCTATGCTCTCTAAATCACAGGAGAAAAATCTTGTGTGTACTGCATCTAAGCAACACTTTATCTTGTTCTATTTATTTCTAATGAAATCCATGTGGGACAAGTTAGATGCCGACCAAATAGGAAATAACGTGCCCAAGCTGTCGTTCAGCAGTTGCCTTGTGACAAAAGGACACAGAAAATTACTGTGGTTATCAAACATTTGATATGAATAGTAATACTTTTTT